TTTGTCAACCTTTTTGCGACAAATGGTGCAGCAAATTGAACCTGTTTCGCAGCAGTGCAGCTTCTTTGTTCCATTTTTATCAGTCCCCCCACCGCAAAGCGAAGTACCGTAGACACCCTAGTCCACAGCAAACCTCCAGAAGCTAAAGCTTCAGGTTCAACCTCGCCGGAACCAGTGTTGGCGCCTGCGGGCATTGGGCCTGGTAACGTTACAGTGGATGCTCGGCAGTGATGGGAAGGATTCAAGGAGAATAACATGAGCAGATACCAGCAGAACAGAGCCGTCAAGTGATGGTGCTGACTGCTGACCCTTGGAAGTTCGTTTTTTTTCCCAAAGACAACTTGGGAACGTGGTGAGCCCGTGGTGAACCAAGGATTGCAACCCCTATGATGGCACGCGCTACTTGACCTTCGGAAACGGCAATGGCATCACGTCCGGTGAGTGCAAGGCTAGCTGGGAAGCTCGAACATGTAGTATGTAGTGCGGCAAATCTGTTGCTAAGCCAAGCACAAGGCGCTTTCCACTTCTTTCCACCTTCGTGCAGAGAATCGATGCGTTCTATAAGTTGTTTGAGATCGTACGAGTCAGGAGTCTATTGCTGTTTTATCCATCACTACCTTGGAGTTAGAGTTTGTGTAGATTGAATTACTATGCTGCTACGCTTTCCTGATTGAACCTGATTTCCTGTTCCTCGGAAAGCAGGTTTGGCCGGAATCAGGTGCCTAGCAAATTCTTTCAAACTTCCCGGCGCCAAGAGTTCGGATGTGTTCGGCGAAATTCCGCAACTGAGGATCTTCATGAGATTCAGCTTTGGGATGAGAGGGGTGAACGGAGACTTGGAATGTCCACGCTGGTTTGGAGTCGGAAGGGAAAAACATTGGCCACGATCTTCGAGTGTGCTTGTCAAAGAATTGGCTTGTTTGACCGTGACTTGCAAATCCACTGTGGCACCCTGGAACCAGATGTGTGTAGAGGTACAGGTTTGAAACAGCGACCATTCTCAATGCGCACTGGCTGGTGCAGGGTGATTTGTTCACACTCACACACAGCCAAATACACCTGACATAGCATTTTTTAATTGATGTGCGTACGAATGTGGTTTCCAGACTACGCAGCCTGAAAAATAGACATCATCAGGAAAGTTGACGGACATTGCGCGTTGAAATATGCAAGATCAGCGTGAAGCAAGGATCACCGATTTGACAGCTTCGACAGCCACTGGTGATGGTGGAAGCAACTTGGTATTCATGCTGCCATAGCAAAAATGTGCTTCAGCGCTTCGTATTTCTTGTTGCAGGGGAAACAGTTGCCATCTCTCAGTGCAATTCTCCGGTGCTGCAATTTGGTCTGAACAAAAAAACTCATACAGGGATAAGTGACTAGAAGGCAGAACATGAAATTGAAACATACACCACGCTTGGAGTAGATTACAAATAGATCGGGTGTTGGTCCTATTTTTTTTGTTCCAAGGTGGTTACACTCCGGACCTCGCTATTGATGGCAACAGTGCTACATTCTTCGCAGGCGACCACGACATTGGTATCCTGACAGTGAAGTTCTGGCTGGGTCTCAAGGATTTGGATGACGTTGATAGGCGAAGCTGTGATGATGTGAACAACGCTTCCAAGGCATGAGCTGCCATTGCTGGGAATCTAGCAAAAAGGACAGATTCGGCAGAATGGCGTGGTCGGGACCTGTGACGACACATAGATCCTCACATGTTCGGAGTACAATTCTTGGTTGGCAAGCCGCAGGCTCAGTCTCCAGTAGCTATGCTTTGAACACATTTTCTTCACTGACGCAGGTGCCTGGCATAGAAAGTTAGGGCCAATGTGACGACAGGACGCCCAGAGCATCACGATAGATATGGGTTCCACGAAGAAAGTCTCCAAAATCATGCTCTTCGTCTGCATCCCAACCTGAGCCCAGGGGTTGTACCAGGGGTTGATGTATGGCAGGGTTCTGCCTGAATAGGATGGGACAGAGACGGCAACAAAGTCATTGATTCTGGTCGAAGCACAGGTCAGTAGGCCCATATTTTGGCATCTCCATTGTGATGCCAGACATGCCACACACCTCACATGCCACATGCAGCAAAGAAACAGTACACAAAACGCACCATGTTAAAAGACCCCAAGGCGTGGCTGTCCAGGCGCCAAATTAAATTCCCAACCCATTGGGCCCATGCGGTATGCGGTAGAGCGCCCCAGGTTGTTGCAGGGTGGAGCTGGCAACGAATGGGCCGTTTCAAAGATCCGCATCCACTGCCGCTACGCCGATTTTCTGTGGGCATGTCCAAATGCAAAGAACGGAGCATAAAAGACTGGCGACTGGAGATTGGTTTCCAACACCATTTCGATGTTCCCCGAGCTTTTGGATGCGGAATGCGTATTGGCGTAGCGATATCCATTCCTATCCTGCCCGTTCACCCCAAAGCACTATTTGAAGACAATCCTCTTGAATAAAGTCATGACTTCGTATCCTCAACAGTTCGGGGTGAAGGGCGAACCCACATGAAATGAGAGAGAGGAGACGCGGAGACCCGGCAGAGTGTGGTCAAACAGGGTTTGCAATGTGCATTGCCTCAAGGTTTGGTGATTTTACCGGTCACTGGAAATCCCACGCAAGTTATCTTGGAGCCACCTTGACAGATTCAGTCGACAATGAATCAATGAATCAATGAATGAATGAATGAAATGAAATGACATGAAATGAAATGAATGAATGGAATGAATGGAATTGAATGAATGGAATGAATGGAATGAATGGAATGAATTGAATAAATTGAATGAATTGAATAAATTGAATGAATTGAATGAATTGAATGAATTGAATGAATTGAATGAATTGAAAGAATTGAATGAATTAAATGAATTGAATGAATTGAATGAATTGAATGAATTGAATGAATTGAATGAATTGTATGAATTGAATGAATTAAATGAATTGAATGAATTGAATGAATTGAATGAATTGAATGAATTGAATGAATTAAATGAATTGAATGAATTGAATGAATTGAATGAATGAATTGAATTGAATGAAATGACATGAAATGAAATGAATGAATGAATGAATGAATGAAATGGCTGAGGTAGCAGTGGCAGCAGCCTACAGAACTATCCCCTGCCGCTCGATATCTCCTTTGTGACTTGTTCAAGAGTGCAAGCCAGAACAATGAGAGTGGAGAAAACAGGTACTGTAGTCTTCAATTTCGATCGAGCTGCAAGACTGAAGGGTGAGAGGGTGTGGGCATTCATGATGGCTTCATCAGGCATGAAGATACCACTGCGTCACTCTGGCGTTTGGGCGTTTAGCACAGAGCTTCACTTTTCCCTCCCCAGATATCTCCAGATTGGGTTCACGGATGGCAGTAGCGTGCATGCTGAGGGCCAGACAGATATTGAATGCAATGCCGGTGGCTGTGTTGTCGCTGGCAACTTGGCACATCCTGGCATCTTCAGCTGATCACGACACCATGTCCATATTGGCCCTGATAACCTGAGCGACCTCGTGGGGCCCTGCCCAATAGGAAGACAAATGAATAACAGCAGTGCTAGAGTCAATCCGTCCGCTTTTGATCAAATCAGACCCTATTATTATCAAATCGTGTCACGTAGTTTCAGGATGTGTCAGGTTCCCCCCTAGACTGACAAACATGTAATGTGCCGCAGCCGCGCAAACTTTTTGTTCAAAGGCATGGACCCGGCCTACTATCACACATGTGATTCAGCAATCTCGATTGCGTCTTCGCTCTACCTGATCTCCATGATTCTGCTGGGTTGCTCGGCAGCAGCCTTTTGTCAAGAGACTTCAGTAGATGGGGTCTTCTCAGCTCAGTAACGTTGGGGCACGTCAAAGATTGCGATTGCAATTGAACACACCTGCTCCCAATGAACGCCTGGAGGCTTGTTATCTTTCAACCTTTGCCAGGACCAGCTCTGCTTAGTTGACAGGAAGACAGCGTAGTCGCTTCTATTTACGCAGGCGTGGGCAGTGTGCTTGCATGGCACTTATTACATATATCTTATTTTGCATTTGCCATGAATCAAGCCCAAAGGTGGTGTGTTGCTGGTGGTTGGTGCGCTCAGACGCAGCAGCTTGTGCAAATACAATACAAATACATACAAATACCCAATGTACGGGGTTTGCTACCTCAAAAAGTAGGCTGTAGGAAATCCAACGCAGGAATCTTGGTTTCCACACCATCTTTTGCCCCCGCTGCGCCAGGTTGCGGGTTCATTTTCCATGCCGTTGCAGCAACACCTGAGAGGCGCTTCTCTCAGATCTGGGACGGCAGTAGGTGCTTTGCTCCGGGCGTTTTTCCAAAAGGAACCGTCCGAAACTTTCCGGCACCTCCTCAGAGTGTGTACAAGTGAAATGTATTCGAGTGGTTTTCAGGTGATCCGTACTCCTGCTTCTTGCCATATTGGGTGGCTGGTTTGAGAAGGCCATAGTCGAAGGTGCTGGAGAGTTCTCATGGCTTTAACTTTAAAACAAACTCTTTGAAAGCTGGTCTTCAGCAGAGGGCCAAGAGCTATGTAAAAAGTGCCCCTTAGTGAAGACATCAACTGTTCCTCTTGAAGTTTGAAAGTTGGATGTCGCGGAAACAGCAGTTTCCAGTGGGAGTGATGTCTTCACCCGTCATGTTCCAGCACTCTGTGCGAGTCGCAAAGCGACGGAACCAGGGTGCAGCGCACGCATGGCTTGCCAAAGGTAGCTGACCTCGGCTGCGGTGAGAAAGATGCAGAATGCTGTGGAACAGCAGTTGATGTCCATTTTTCCAATCAGAAATGCACCTGAAATGCCAGGCGACTGACAGGGATTGGTGGGGATTGTGCGATCGGATCGCATTTGTGGATCCAGGAGGCCCCCGGAAAACATACTTTTCGTTCTCGATTTCTCACAGCCCAGTGCATTGGAAAGCCGGATTGCTGGATTTTCCAGTCCAACATCAACGAGAATGTCCGCAGCTTTTTCTTGCAGGCTGATGGCTCAGCATGGCTCAGCTCATTCTGCGACGCCCATGGTTCTCGGCAGCTTTGGGACTTCCATTCGTCAGAGGTGATGGAGAACTTTTCCTTAGCCTCCTGGCACAAAGTTGGCAGACCAGTGGGAAATGGCTTTAATTTTGGCGCGGGATTGCCAAGTCTGAAAAATCTAAGTGCTTTTGCATCATATTTGTTGACGTTGAGCCATGATAAATTCCTGCAGTGAATCCAGTGAATGCAGCGCAGACATGTTGGAACCCAATGCACCCAAAAGCAGTAACACTCTTTGTCAACCCTTTTGCGGCAAATGGTGCAACAAATTGAAACTGTCTCGCAGCAGTGGAACTGAAGCTAAAGCTTCAGGTTCAACCTCGCCGGAACCAGTGTTGGCGCCTGCGGGCATTGGGCCTGGTAACGTTACAGTGGATGCTCGGCAGTGATGGGAAGGATTCAAGGAGAATAACATGAGCAGATACCAGCAGAACAGAGCCGTCAAGTGATGGTGCTGACTGCTGACCCTTGGAAGTTCGTTTTTTTTTTTTCCCAAAGACAACTTGGGAACGTGGTGAGCCCGTGGTGAACCAAGGATTGCAACCCCTATGATGGCACGCGCTATTTGACCTTCGGAAACGGCAATGGCATCACCCGTGACCAGTGCACTGCTAGCTGGGAAGCTTGGGCGTGTGCAGCAAGTTGGCAGACTTGTAGATAAAGCGACAAGCACTTTAGGCTTCTTTCATCTTCTTTCCACTTTCATCAAAGATCTCAGAGTTGCGAGGATGGATGTGTATTATGAGTTGTCTGAGATATTACGAGTCTATGACTATCTAATCAAATCATATCAAATCTATTACCACCTAGGAGTTACCGTAGATTGAATTGCCACGATGCTACGGTTTCCTGTTCCTCGGAAAGCAGGTTTGGCCGGAATCAGGTGCCTAGCAAATTCTTTCAAACTTCCCGGCGCCAAGAGTTCGGATGTGTTCGGCGAAATTCCGCAACTGAGGATCTTCATGAGATTCAGCTTTGGGATGAGAGGGGTGAACGGAGACTTGGAATGTCCACGCTGGTTTGGAGTCGGAAGGGAAAAAAATTGGCCACGATCTTCGAGTGTGCTTGTCAAAGAATTGGCTTGTTTGACCGTGACTTGCAAATCCACTGTGGCACCCTGGAACCAGATGTGTGTAGAGGTACAGGTTTGAAACAGCGACCATTCTCAATGCGCACTGGCTGGTGCAGGGTGATTTGTTCACACTCACACACAGCCAAATACACCTGACATAGCATTTTTTAATTGATGTGCGTACGAATGTGGTTTCCAGACTACGCAGCCTGAAAAATAGACATCATCAGGAAAGTTGACGGACATTGCGCGTTGAAATATGCAAGATCAGCGTGAAGCAAGGATCACCGATTTGACAGCTTCGACAGCCACTGGTGATGGTGGAAGCAACTTGGTATTCATGCTGCCATAGCAAAAATGTGCTTCAGCGCTTCGTATTTCTTGTTGCAGGGGAAACAGTTGCCATCTCTCAGTGCAATTCTCCGGTGCTGCAATTTGGTCTGAACAAAAAAACTCATACATGGATAAGTGACTAGAAGGCAGAACATGAAATTGAAACATACACCACGCTTGGAGTAGATTACAAATAGATCGGGTGTTGGTCCTATTTTTTTTGTTCCAAGGTGGTTACACTCCGGACCTCGCTATTGATGGCAACAGTGCTACATTCTTCGCAGGCGACCACGACATTGGTATCCTGACAGTGAAGTTCTGGCTGGGTCTCAAGGATTTGGATGACGTTGATAGGCGAAGCTGTGATGATGTGAACAACGCTTCCAAGGCATGAGCTGCCATTGCTGGGAATCTAGCAAAAAGGACAGATTCGGCAGAATGGCGTGGTCGGGACCTGTGACGACACATAGATCCTCACATGTTCGGGGTACAATTCTTGGTTGGCAAGCTGCAGGCTCAGTCTCCAGTAGCTACGCTTTGAACACATTTTCTTCACTGACGCAGGTGCCTGGCATAGAAAGTTAGGGCCAATATGACGACAGGACGCCCAGAGCATCACGATAGATATGGGTTCCACGAAGAAAGTCTCCAAAATCATGCTCTTCGTCTGCATCCCAACCTGAGCCCAGGGGTTGTACCAGGGGTTGATGTATGGCAGGGTTCTGCCTGAATAGGATGGGACAGAGACGGCAACAAAGTCATTGATTCTGGTCGAAGCACAGGTCAGAAGGCCCATATTTTGGCATCTCCATTGTGATGCCAGACATGCCACACACCTCACATGCCACATGCAGCAAAGAAACAGTACACAAAACGCACCATGTTAAAAGACCCCAAGGCGTGGCTGTCCAGGCGCCAAATTAAATTCCCAACCCATTGGGCCCATGCGGTATGCGGTAGAGCGCCCCAGGTTGTTGCAGGGTGGAGCTGGCAACGAATGGGCCGTTTCAAAGATCCGCATCCACTGCCGCTACGCCGATTTTCTGTGGGCATGTCCAAATGCAAAGAACGGAGCATAAAAGACTGGCGACTGGAGATTGGTTTCCAACACCATTTCGATGTTCCCCGAGCTTTTGGATGCGGAATGCGTATTGGCGTAGCGATATCCATTCCTATCCTGCCCGTTCACCCCAAAGCACTATTTGAAGACAATCCTCTTGAATAAAGTCATGACTTCGTATCCTCAACAGTTCGGGGTGAAGGGCGAACCCACATGAAATGAGAGAGAGGAGACGCGGAGACCCGGCAGAGTGTGGTCAAACAGGGTTTGCAATGTGCATTGCCTCAAGGTTTGGTGATTTTACCGGTCACTGGAAATCCCACGCAAGTTATCTTGGAGCCACCTTGACAGATTCAGTTGACAATGAATCAATGAATCAATGAATGAATGAATGAATGAATGAAATGAAATGAAATGAAATGAAATGAAATGAAATGAATGAATGGAATGAATGGAATTGAATGAATGGAATGAATGGAATGAATGGAATGAATTGAATAAATTGAATGAATTGAATGAATTGAATGAATTGAATGAATTGAATGAATTGAATGAATTGAATGAATTGAAAGAATTGAATGAATTAAATGAATTGAATGAATTGAATGAATTGAATGAATTGAATGAATTGAATGAATTGTATGAATTGAATGAATTAAATGAATTGAATGAATTGAATGAATTGAATGAATTGAATGAATTGAATGAATTAAATGAATTGAATGAATTGAATGAATTGAATGAATGAATTGAATTGAATGAAATGACATGAAATGAAATGAATGAATGAATGAATGAAATGGCTGAGGTAGCAGTGGCAGCAGCCTACAGAACTATCCCCTGCCGCTCGATATCTCCTTTGTGACTTGTTCAAGAGTGCAAGCCAGAACAATGAGAGTGGAGAAAACAGGTACTGTAGTCTTCAATTTCGATCGAGCTGCAAGACTGAAGGGTGAGAGGGTGTGGGCATTCATGATGGCTTCATCAGGCATGAAGATACCACTGCGTCACTCTGGCGTGTGGGCGTTTAGCACAGAGCTTCACTTTTCCCTCCCCAGATATCTCCAGATTGGGTTCACGGATGGCAGTAGCGTGCATGCTGAGGGCCAGACAGATATTGAATGCAATGCCGGTGGCTGTGTTGTCGCTGGCAACTTGGCACATCCTGGCATCTTCAGCTGATCACGACACCATGTCCATATTGGCCCTGATAACCTGAGCGACCTCGTGGGGCCCTGCCCAATAGGAAGACAAATGAATAACAGCAGTGCTAGAGTCAATCCGTCCGCTTTTGATCAAATCAGACCCTATTATTATCAAATCGTGTCACGTAGTTTCAGGATGTGTCAGGTTCCCCCCTAGACTGACAAACATGTAATGTGCCGCAGCCGCGCAAACTTTTTGTTCAAAGGCATGGGCCCGGCCTACTATCACACATGTGATTCAGCAATCTCGATTGCGTCTTCGCTCTACCTGATCTCCATGATTCTGCTGGGTTGCTCGGCAGCAGCCTTTTGTCAAGAGACTTCAGTAGATGGGGTCTTCTCAGCTCAGTAACGTTGGGGCACGTCAAAGATTGCGATTGCAATTGAACACACCTGCTCCCAATGAACGCCTGGAGGCTTGTTATCTTTCAACCTTTGCCAGGACCAGCTCTGCTTAGTTGACAGGAAGACAGCGTAGTCGCTTCTATTTACGCAGGCGTGGGCAGTGTGCTTGCATGGCACTTATCATATTTATTTATATTTTGCATTTGCCATGAATCAAGCCCAAAGGTGGTGTGTTGCTGGTGGTTGGTGCGCTCAGACGCAGCAGCTTGTGCAAATACAATACCAATACATACAAATACCCAATGTACGGGGTTTGCTACCTCAAAAAGTAGGCTGTAGGAAATCCAACGCAGGAATCTTGGTTTCCACACCATCTTTTGCACCCGCTGCGCCAGGTTGCGGGTTCATTTTCCATGCCGTTGCAGCAACACCTGAGAGGCGCTTCTCTCAGATCTGGGACGGCAGTAGGTGCTTTGCCCCGGGCGTTTTTCCAAAAGGAACCGTCCGAAACTTTCCGGCACCTTCTCAGAGTCTGTACAAGTGAAACGTATTCGAGTGGTTTTCAGGTGATCCGTACTCCTGCTTCTTGCCATATTGGGTGGTTGGTTTGAGAAGGCCATAGTCGAAGGTGCTGGAGAGTTCTCATGGCTTTAACTTTAAAACAAACTCTTTGAAAGCTGGTCTTCAGCAGAGGGCCAAGAGCTATGTAAAAAGTGCCCCTTAGTGAAGACATCAACTGTTCCTCTTGAAGTTTGAAAGTTGGATTTCGCGGAAACAGCAGTTTCCAGTGGGAGTGATGTCTTCACCCGTCATGTTCCAGCACTCTGTGCGAGTCGCAAAGCGACGGAACCAGGGTGCAGCGCACGCATGGCTTGCCAAAGGTAGCTGACCTCGGCTGCGGTGAGAAAGATGCAGAATGCTGTGGAACAGCAGTTGATGTCCATTTTTCCAATCAGAAATGCACCTGAAATGCCAGGCGACTGACAGGGATTGGTGGGGATTGTGCGATCGGATCGCATTTGTGGATCCAGGAGGCCCCCGGAAAACATACTTTTCGTTCTCGATTTCTCACAGCCCAGTGCATTGGAAAGCCGGATTGCTGGATTTTCCAGTCCAACATCAACGAGAATGTCCGCAGCTTTTTCTTGCAGGCTGATGGCTCAGCATGGCTCAGCTCATTCTGCGACGCCCATGGTTCTTGGCAGCTTTGGGACTTCCATTCGTCAGAGGTGATGGAGAACTTTTCCTTAGCCTCCTGGCACAAAGTTGGCAGACCAGTGGGAAATGGCTTTAATTTTGGCGCGGGATTGCCAAGTCTGAAAAATCTAAGTGCTTTTGCATCATATTTGTTGACGTTGAGCCATGATAAATTCCTGCAGTGAATCCAGTGAATGCAGCGCAGACATGTTGGAACCCAATGCACCCAAAAGCAGTAACACTCTTTGTCAACCCTTTTGCGGCAAATGGTGCAACAAATTGAAACTGTCTCGCAGCAGTGGAACTGAAGCTAAAGCTTCAGGTTCAACCTCGCCGGAACCAGTGTTGGCGCCTGCGGGCATTGGGCCTGGTAACGTTACAGTGGATGCTCGGCAGTGATGGGAAGGATTCAAGGAGAATAACATGAGCAGATACCAGCAGAACAGAGCCGTCAAGTGATGGTGCTGACTGCTGACCCTTGGAAGTTCGTTTTTTTTCCCAAAGACAACTTGGGAACGTGGTGAGCCCGTGGTGAACCAAGGATTGCAACCCCTATGATGGCACGCGCTATTTGACCTTCGGAAACGGCAATGGCATCACCCGTGACCAGTGCACTGCTAGCTGGGAAGCTTGGGCGTGTGCAGCAAGTTGGTAGACTTGTAGATAAAGCGACAAGCACTTTAGGCTTCTTTCATCTTCTTTCCACTTTCATCAAAGATCTCAGAGTTGCGAGGATGGATGTGTATTATGAGTTGTCTGAGATATTACGAGTCTATGACTATCTAATCAAATCATATCAAATCTATTACCACCTAGGAGTTACCGTAGATTGAATTGCCACGATGCTACGGTTTCCTGTTCCTCGGAAAGCAGGTTTGGCCGGAATCAGGTGCCTAGCAAATTCTTTCAAACTTCCCGGCGCCAAGAGTTCGGATGTGTTCGGCGAAATTCCGCAACTGAGGATCTTCATGAGATTCAGCTTTGGGATGAGAGGGGTGAACGGAGACTTGGAATGTCCACGCTGGTTTGGAGTCGGAAGGGAAAAACATTGGCCACGATCTTCGAGTGTGCTTGTCAAAGAATTGGCTTGTTTGACCGTGACTTGCAAATCCACTGTGGCACCCTGGAACCAGATGTGTGTAGAGGTACAGGTTTGAAACATCGGCCATTCTCAATGCGCACTGGCTGGTGCAGGGTGATTTGTTCACACTCACACACAGCCAAATACACCTGACATAGCATTTTTTAATTGATGTGCGTACGAATGTGGTTTCCAGACTACGCAGCCTGAAAAATAGACATCATCAGGAAAGTTGACGGACATTGCGCATTGAAATATGCAAGATCAGCACGAAGCAAGGATCACCTCTTTGTTAGCTTCGACAGCCACTGGCAGCAGTGGAAGCAACTTGGTGTTCATGCTGCCATAGCAAAAATGTGCTTCAGCGCTTCGTATTTCTTGTTGCAGGGGAAACAGTTGCCATCTCTCAGTGCAATTCTCCGGTGCTGCAATTATGTCTGAACCAAGGGAGTTGATATATGGACAAGTGACTATAAGGCGGAATATTGAATCCAAACATTCACCAAGCTCGGACTAGATTGCAAATGGTCCAGGATGTTGACCCCCAAATGATTTGCCTCAAAGGTCACGCCGCTCCGAACAAAGCAATTGATGGCGACAGCGCTTCATACTTTGCAGGCGACCACGACGTTGGTGTCCTGACAGTGAAGTTCTGGCTGGGTATCAAGCTTTTCTATATGCATGAAATTGATTTGGATGACGTTGATAGCGCAAACTGTCATGATGGGGAGCTTTTCGTGAACAACAGCAAGATTTGCCTTCCAAGGCATGAGCTGCCATTGCTGGGAATCTAGCAAAAAGGACAGGTTCGCCGGAATGGCGTGGTATGGATTTGTGAAGTTTAGATCCCCATTTGGTTGTGGCACCAATTTTGGCAGAAAAAACTTATGCAGTAGCTACGCTTTGAACACATTTTCTTCACTGACGCAGGTGCCTGGCATAGAAAGTTAGGGCCAATGTGACGACAGGACGCCCAGACCATCACGTTAGATATGGGTTCCACGAAGAAAGTCTCCAAAATCATGCTCTTCGTCTGCATCCCAACCTGAGCCCAGGGGTTGTACCAGGGGTTGATGTATGGCAGGGTTCTGCCTGAATAGGATGGGACAGAGACGGCAAAAAAGTAGTTCGTTTCTGGTCGTACCGCGGGTCATTACGCCCATGCATGCACGAAGCGTCTTCTTCCACATGCAACGGAAAAACAGTACACCAAAAGGCACCAGGTTAAAAGACTCCAAGGCGTGGCTGTCCAGGCGCCAAATTAAATTCCCAACCCATCAGGCCCATGCGGTATGCGGTAGAGCGCCCCCAGGTTGCTGCAGGGTGGAGCTGGCAACCCGTGGGCCGTTTCAAAGATCCGCATCCACTGCCGCTACGCCGATTTTCTGTGGGCATGTCCAAACGCAAACGGAGTATTGAGTATAGAAGACTGGCGACTGGAGATTGGCTTCCAACACCATTTTGATGTTTCTCAAGCTTTTGGATGCGTAATGCGTAGTGATATCAGCGATATCCGTTCCTATCCTGGCCGTCCACCCAAAAGAACTATTTGAAGACACTCCTCTTGAATAAAGTCATGACTTCGTATCCTCAACAGTTCGGGGTGAAGGGCGAACCCACATGAAATGGCAAAGGAGACGGGCTGAGTGTGGTCAAACAGGGTTTGCAATGTGCATTGCCTGAAGGCTTAGCGATTTTGGCTGAGGTAGCAGTGGCAGCAGCCTACAGAACTATCCCCTGCCGCTCGATATCTCCTTTGTGACTTGTTCAAAAGTGCAAGCCAGAACAATGAGACTGGAGAAAGCCTGTAGTCTTCAGTTTCGGTCGAGCTGCAAAACTGAAGTGGTGAGAGGGTGTGGGTATTCATTCAGATGGCTTCATCAGGCATGAAGGTACCACTTGGCAGCAGCTTGCATGCTGAGGGCCAGACAGATATTGAATGCAATGCCGGTGGTTGTGCTGTCACTGGCAACTTGGCATATCTTGGCATCTTCAGTCGATCACCACACCATCATCACATATCATCACCATATTGCTCCCGATAACTTGAGAGACAAATGAATGACAGCAGTGCTAGAGTCAATCCATTCGCTTTTGATCAGACCATTTTTTAAACCCAAATCCTGATAGATAGTGTCAGGATTTCCTCTGCAGCGTTCTCACATGTTTTTTTCCCTCATCCCTAGACTGACAAACGTGTAATGAGCCGCAGCCGGGCAAACTTTTTGTTACCAGGCATGGACCCGGCCTACTATCACACATGTGATTCAGCAATCTCGATTGCGTCTTCGCTCTACCTGATCTCCATGATTCTGCTGGGTTGCTCGCCAGCAGCCTTTTGTCAAGAGACTTGGGTAGATGGGGTCTTCTCCTCTTAGTAACGTTGGGGCACGTCAAAGATTGCGATTGCAATTGAACACACCTGCTCCCAATGAACGCTTGGAGGCTTGTTATCTTTCAACCTTTGCCAGGACCAGCTCTGCTTAGTTGACAGGAAGACAGCGTAGTCGCTCCTATTTACGCAGGCGTGGGCAGTGTGCTTGCATGGCACTTATCATATTTATTTATATTATATTTTGCATTTGCCATGAATCAAGCCCAAAGGTGGTGTGTTGCTGGTGGTTGGTGCGCTCAGACGCAGCAGCTTGTGAATACAATACAAATACCCAAGGTACGGGGTTTGCTACCTCAAAAAGTAGGCTGTAGGAATCCAACGCAGGAATCTTGGTTTCCACACCACCTTTTGCACCCGCTGCGCCAGGTTGCGGGTTCATTTTCCATGCCGTTGCAGCAACACCTGAGAGGCGCTTCTCTCAGATCTGGGACGGCAGTAGGTGCTTTGCTCCGGGCGTTTTTCCAAAAGGAACCGTCCGAAACTTTCCGGCACCTCCTCAGAGTGTGTACAAGTGAAATGTATTCGAGTGGTTTTCAGGTGATCCGTACTCCTGCTTCTTGCCATATTGGGTGGTTGGTTTGAGAAGGCCATAGTCGAAGGTGCTGGAGAGTTCTCATGGCTTTAACTTTAAAACAAACTCTTTGAAAGCTGGTCTTCAGCAGAGGGCCAAGAGCTATGTAAAAAGTGCCCCTTAGTGAAGACATCAACTGTTCCTCTTGAAGTTTGAAAGTTGGATGTCGCGGAAACAGCAGTTTCCAGTGGGAGTGATGTCTTCACCCGTCATGTTCCAGCACTCTGTGTGAGTCGCAAAGCGACGGAACCAGGGTGGCGCGCACGCATGGCTTGCCAAAGGTAGCTGACCTCGGCTGCGGTGAGAAATGCTGTGGAACAGCAGTTGATGTCCATTTTTCCAATCAGAAATGCACCCGAAATGCCAGGCGACTGACAGGGATTGATGGGGATTGTGCGATCGGATCGCATTTGTGGATCGAGGAAGCCCCCGGAAAACTCTAGTTGCGTGCTTGCATATTATGGTGGATATTCCAAAGGGTAAAACCCATCGTGCCATTTTGGGCTCAAGTGCTGAGCAGATCCAGCACTAGCCCCGTTTTCCCCTTTTTCTCCAACTCTACAATGGAGGGGGATGGAGGGGAGGCGAAAGTAGATAGGTCTATAGGGATCGAGGCAGAGAAAGAAGGCGAGACAGTAGCCGCTCAGTAGCCACCATCTTGAGCCCTCGCATCGGCCGCGGAGAAGCTGTCGCGACCGAGAAGACAGGGAGGACGACCGTGACCGAGACAGAAGCGGTAGGCGGGAGGGCCGAGAGAAGGCACAGCCGGAGGCACGGCACGATGGAGATCGTTCCCATCGGAGCACCGACGAGGGCCAATGACGGTGCCTTCATCGAGACCCCAGCACGGGAGGGAGTCCAGAAAAGGCTGGCTGACGATACAACCGTGGCCAATTTCTCCGCCGACGAGGGTTGGGACGCTATATGATTATGGAGGCGAGCACCCGTGCAACAGCATTGCATTGCACCTCGCATCTTGGCAAAAATTAATGAGGGACCGAGGGTGGACGTCATCAGGTATCACACTTGCCGCTTCGCAGGGAGAAGGCGTAAGAACTCCCAGGTTTTTATAACCAATTGGAAAACTTTCAGACCTTTCAGGAAGTGGATAGGGCTGACCTGCTCGAAGAGTAAGTTCTGTGACCGCATTGGGCTCCCACATTTGAAACGGAGGCCGACCGTTTCAGGCGGCAGGGTAGTTCAGTTCAAAACCGGGGATGAGCGGGAATATCCAGTTGGGTTCTGTGATAGATAGTATGCCCATGCGGCATGGTCACTTTTGGGCCCGGAGGGAAGCTTCATCGCAATCTTTTCTGGCCCAAACGCGCCACTGAGTCACGCAGTCGGAAGGATCTCCGGAGCTAACGTTCCCGGAAGAATCAGTACGAAAGGGAGAGGTGTCACCAACGAGTTGACTGTCTCAGTTGGTCACCACCCCGGAAGAGGCAGGAAAAAGCTTGGATAGGGTCGGAGTGACAAACCTGGCCAGACAAGCTGTGATGGTGGAGTCTAACACGCAACCCAGCTGCGGGAAGAGAGCGCAGCTCATCCCAGAGATCCCAGAGGGCTTGAATGATCCGCTTCCCTACCTAGCCAGAGCCATGCAGCTTGCTCATCCTTTCAGCGACCAGAGCACGCTGAAAGAGGACCACCGGGAAGTGCTAGCTTCAGCAAAGTAGCTACCGAGTCCGTTGGCACGGCTGGGAGGGTGGAAACGCATTCCACATCCCCAAAGGTTGAGCAACGCCAGGCAGAGCACGAGCTTCTTTCGCGCAACAACGCCAGGCGATTGGGCAGGCGCGCAAGAGCAGCGGTGATGGAACACCTAGGGAACCAGTTCGGGTTGAAGACAAGGCGGTGTCAATGCTGTGCCTCACTGGGATGCCAATAGTTGGCAGCTGGCAACGCGCTGGAGCCTCCCTTCTTTGAGCCTCATGATGTCCCGGCGCAGATCACCCTGGAAGAGTTCATCGCCACGGCGCCAAAGAGGCGCAAGGACAGCTTGAAGCGAGTGAAGCTCATGGCCGAGTCAGGGTCGCCTGAGCTGGCACAAGCCATATGGGGCAAGACCATGAAAGAGGTCACTGGGGGAACATGCGGGAACCATGGCCGGGCCTTACACGCCCGGCGAAATCTTGGCCAAGCGGTAAAAACATTTCAACATCGTTCCAAGCTTTGGCCTCCAACAGGGCAATTCAGCTGTCTGGTGTGGAGGCGGGCAGCCGCCAGAAGAGTGCGGCTTCCTTGCCTTGGGCACCCCTATCGGCACGCCTGCTTATGTCCAAGCGGCCTCGGCAGACCGCGTGCGTCGCCAAGCCGACTTCCTCCGCGAGCTCCCGCACCTGCCTGACTTGCAAGCCGCCTGGCTCCTGCTCACATATTGCGCCGCGCCCCGGGCCCAGCATCTGCTCCGTACTGTGCCCCGTACTCTGTCTGCCACGGCTGCGGCGGCGCACGACGAGGCCGTCTGGGAGACGCTGGCCCGGCTGCTTCAAGAGCCGGCCTCCACGGCCTTACCTCTTTCCTCCCGGACCCTGGCTTTCCTACCAGCCCGATTGGGCGGCCTAGGCCTCTATGCAGCTGCACGCTTAGCACCCGCTGCCTACTGGGCCTCATGGGCTGACGCGTTGCCAGTCCTCCGACAACGCGTGCCGGCTCTTGCAGAGCAGCTTACCGCCATCCTTTCTACCGCTGCTGCCTCCGGGACAACGTGCCTCCACGAAGCAGCCGCGTGCGGGACACATCTCGATGCCCAAGGCTGGACTGCGCGACCTCCCTGGGACATCCTTCTCTCTGGTCCCGGCGCCCCGCCGCCCCTCGACGAAGCAGAGCCCGGCCTCTTTCGGCACGGCTGGCAACAACCCGCAGCGCTCGTCCTTCATACCGCACGCGCGCGAAGTGATGCCTCCCCTCGCGCAAGCTGAGCAAGCTCTCCTCCGCTCCCAGTCGGGGCCCCACGCTGCAGCATGGCTCACTGCCATCCCGACGGATCCCGGGACGACCTTGTCTCCCGAAGAAATGCAGGTGGCCTTGCGACGCCGCCTCCGCCTCCCCTTGCCCCTAGCCTCGCGCCACTGCGGCGGCGAAAGGGGGTATGGTTGCGGCGCCCCCTCGGACCCCTTCGGGGACCACGCAACCGCTTGCCATCGCACCGGCCTGCTAGCCTTGTCCTCGGCGCCGAAACGGGGGGGGCGCTGGAGCCGCGACTGCTTCTCCCTCATGCGCATCTTGCTGACTGCCCGATCGCGCCGCACGCCGTCCCTAGTGCGCCGGGCCATGTGCTCTGGGTGGCAGCGGCGCTGGTGGGCGCTCTTCGCCTGTGCGGTGCAGCGTGCCGTGGCGATGAGCGCCACCTCTACGCCTGCCACACCCCCTTGCCCCCTGGCCATCCTCTCTCTGGCTGACTTCGCGGGCCCCAGCCGCCTCGGCTTCCCTGCTTAGCGCGGCCCCTTCCTTCGGACGCGGGACTTGAACTCTGCAGCTAAAAAGGTGCGCGGACAAAAAAAATCAGCTGACGGCTGACGGTTCCATAAAATATAGACGCATCGACGACCACACGGCGGCGGTGGCAGAAGATTAATATGGCAATGGTATGCAATGGTGGATTATTTGGCGGTTCTGGTCATCAAGGCATTGGGGAGGCTCCCGTCCGGGTGGGGACGGAGGACATGAAAAACGCCTACAGGCAGATCCCGCTCCCTGATGGCCAAGTTGCAATTTCCATCACTGCAAGAGCTGCATTCGGCGCAGGTCACTCAGTGCCAAACTTCCATCGTGTGGCCGGGTGGATTCAGAGGACCTTGGTCCGGGCCTTCCGGCTTCTCTTAGACCACTTCTTCGACGACTTCTACTATGTGGTCACCGAGCAGGAGGCCACCATAGCAACCTTATGCTTGCGGGAAGGATTCAAGCTCCTGGGTTTCCAGCTGGACAGTGATAAATCGCAGGTTCCCTCTGCCGTGGCCGAGGTGTTAGGAGTGCATTTGCACCGAATCACTTGCCACGCAGAGAATGTGTCTTGTCAAGCCCAAAACCACCAGAGTCTCCAACCTGGTGAGCATGATTGACGAAGTTCTGCAAAGCGGACTCCTGCCTCACGCCCAGGCGGCGAGTTTGTTGGGGAAAAATTTGGTTTCCTTTGCAGCGCAGTGTTTGGTAAGGTTGGCCGTGGCTGCACTGCCCTCTTCGAGAGTATCCCAGAGCAGACCCAATTACTCCACTTCCTCCCCATCTAGTCTTCACGCTTCAGCTCATGCGACTTCTAGCCCAGGTCGCTAAGCCTCGAAGGTGCGCAGTTCACGACAACCAGGACCCCATCCTACTGTGCCTGAACGGGGAGCAGATCGATGGGTGGTGGGCGCTGTCTTCATACATCTTGTCGTGCTCAGCTCCATCGTGCCCACTTGGATTCCCAAAGAAACTTTCACGGGCCAGCTGGAGCTTCTGGCATGCCCGGTAGCCCTGGCTACTTGGCCAAACATCCTGAGATCGGCGGCGGTCATTCACTTTGTTGATAACGACTCCGCTGCTGCAGGATTAGTGCGAGGTTTTTCACCAAAACGTGATAGCTGCGCGATTATAGGTGATTACTGATATTACTGGCTGTTAGCAGCAAAACACGTGATTGACATTTACGTCGACCGTGTAGAAAGCAAGTCCAACATAAGTGACGGTCCCAGCCTGCTGGAGCATTTATGTAAAAGGAAGATGGGCTCCCCCTAATATTTCCTTCCTGCAGGCCAGAGTTTTCCCCTTTGGATAGTAGCTATCTTTCAGTTTCACCTTTTTCTTTTGGAGGTCATCCCAGGCTTTCTCCCCACCTCGGAAGTTGCTGTTGAGTCCTATGCAACCCATGGACAAAAGCTCCCCAACAAGCAATGGGAAGGCCTTTTGGTGGGTGAGGGGGCTATGCACAAGATGAGCTCTGTCCAGGCTTCGCTCACCTGGAAGTTAGGAGTTCATACGCATAGCTATCCAGCACAGACATTTTCCCAAAGACTGGGAAAAAGAAAAAGCGCGCGGAGAGCGAAGCCTTTTCTCAGAGGGATGTGTGGAACCCCAGGGGATATCCATACTTTTCTTTCTCGAATTTTCACGGCCCAGTGCATTGGAAAGCCGGATTGCTGGATTTTCCAGTCCGAGATCAACGAGAATGTCCGCAGTTTTTTTCTTGCAGGCTGATGGCTCAAAATGGTTCAGCCCATTCTGCGACGCCCATGGTTCTTGGCAGCTTTAGGACTGCCAATCGTCAATGGTGATGGGGAACTTTTCCTTAGCCTCCCGGCACAAGAGTGGCAGACAAGTGGAAAATGGATTTAATTTTTGCATGGGATTGCCAAGGCCAAGTCTGAAAACACTACGTGTTTTTGCACGTTTTTTTTTTTCATGCTTATTTACATCATATTTGTTGACGATCATGAACCATGATAAATTCCTGCACAGTGAATCCAATGAATGCAGCGCAAACATGTTGGAACCCGATGCACTCAAAAGGTGTACTCTGCCCTTGTCAACCTTTGTGGGGTAATTGCAGCAACAACCTGCGATTGTCTCGCAGCAGACTTCTTTGTTCCGTTTGACCAGCCCCCTCCACCACAAAGGGAATCACAGTGGTCAGTAGACACCACAGTCCCACTTTTGCTCAGCAGTTCAATCTGAGAGATGGGCTGGCACATGCTGTAAAACATCATGATTTCTAAATCCTTGCGAACTGAAAACAATCAAACTTTGTGAGTGAACAGCAGCTGAAACTTCAGGTTCAACCTTGCCGGCATCAGTGTCGGGGCCTGTGGGAATTGGGCCCGGCAATGTTACAGTGGATGCTCGGCAGTGATGGGAAGGACTCAAGGAGAATACCATGAACAGATCTGAACAAACAATTTCCGTTCTTGGCAGTGACAGAGAATCAACACCATGTGGAGTTCGGCGTGAGCCAGAGACAAATTTGGCAAAAGGTGGTGAGCCAGTTCGGGGGCCAAGGATTGCAACCCGTATGATGGCACCCGCTATCTGACCTTTGGAAACGGCAATGGCATCACGTCCGGTGAGTGCTCTGCTAGCTGGGAAGCTCGAACATGTAGTGCGGCAAATTTTGTTGTGCGGCAAATTTGTTGCTGAACCAAGCACAAGGCACTTTCCGCTTCTTTCCAGCCTGTTGCAGGTCTCAAAGTTGCAGAGGATCTATGTATTCTATGAGTTGTAGGAGGTCGTACGAGTCTATTGACTATCTAATCGATTAAACCTAGGAGTTACTGTAGATTGAATTGCCACGATGCTACGGTTTCCTGTTCCTCGGAAAGCAGGTTTGGCCGCGATCAGGTGCCTAGCAAATTCTTTCAAACTTCCCGGCGCCAAGAGTTCGGATGTGTTCGGCGAAATTCCGCAACTGAGGATCTTCATGAGATTCAGCTTTGGGATGAGAGGGGTGAACGGAGACTTGGAATGTCCACGCTGGTTTGGAGTCGGAAGGAAAAACATTGGCCACGATCTTCGAGTGCGCTTGTCAAAGAATTGGCAAGTGGGGTTGTTCCACACCATGACTTACAAATCAACTTTGGCACCAGATGTGTGCAGAAATACAGTTTTGGTACAGCAAGCATTTTGCGATGACCCAAGTTGAATTTCTGTAATCCACCCTGAGTGGTACAGTTTTGTAGCACAAACGCTGATGCCAAATGATATCATCAAATGATTTGTGCACGCGCATACGTGTATACAGTATACACATAAATATATAATGAACACTCATAGTATTCTTGAATATAGATGTGCGTTGAGATATGGTCTCCAGACTGCAGAAGAGCGCAGACTTGGCAAATCACCTTTACCAAGAAAGCTGGCGGACAGTGTACATTGAAATGTGTAAGAAAAGCGCAAAACAAGGATCACGGATTTGACAGCGTCAACAGCTACTGGCCATGGTGGACGCAACTTGGTGTTCATGCTGCCACAACAACATGTTTGCTTCAGTCCTTCATAGTTCTTTTGGCAGGGTACGCAATTGTCACTTCTCAGCACCACTTTTTCTGGTGATGCAATTCGGTCTGAGAAAACGGACCTGATACACGGACAAGTGATGGCAAGCGAGTAGAAAGAAGGCGGAATATTGAATCAGAACACCAAGCGCGGCTTAGATTACAAACCGACCAGTGTGCTGATCCCCTACATTATATGCCTCCGAGTTCGCTACATTCCGGACAAAGCAATTGATGGCGACAGCGCTTCATTCTTCGGAGGCGACCACGACATTGGCATCCTGACAGTGAAGTTCTGGCTGGGTCTCGATTTTTTTTGGGTGGGGAGGGGGCATGAAAATAGAAAGATTTTTATCGCTTCATGATGGGGAACTTTGCATGAGCAGCGCGATTTGGCTTCCAAGGCATGAGCTGCAGTTGCTGGGGATCGCACAAAAAGGAGAGATTCGGCGGATTGACGTGGTTCGGGGCACACATTTTGGATGGCAAGCTGAAGCCCAGCCACACTTGAAAACACATTTTATTGAGGCAGGTGCTTGGCATACGACAGGACGGACAGAGCATCACGTTAGATATGGGCTCCACCAAGAAAGTCTCCAAAATCATGCTCTTTGTCTGCATCCCAACCTGAGCCCAGGGGTTGTACCAGGGGTTGATGTATGGCAGGGTTCTGCCTGAATAGGATGGGACAGAGACGGCAAAAAAGTGATTCGTTTCTGGTCGTACCGCGGGTCATTAGGCCCATGCATGCATGAAGCAGCATTGTGATGCCAGATGTACATACTTCACCGTCCACATGCAACGGAAAAGCAGTACACCAAAAGGCACCAGGTTACAAGACGCCAATGCGTACGTGAATGTAGGCACCTGCAGAGATGGGCGCGGCATATAATTATGCCACTGCAGATGTCCATAAATGATCATAAATGTGACTTTCCAGGCGTCAAATTAAATCCCCAACCCATGCCCCAGGTTGTTGCAGGGTGGAGCTGGCAACGACTGGGCCGTTTCCAAGATCCGCATCCACTGCCCCTACGCAGATTTTTCTGGGTGGATGCGTAATACGTAGCGATATCCATTCCTATCCTGGCCATTCACCCCAAATCACTATTTGAAGACACTCCTCTTGAATAAAGTCATGACTTCGTACCCTCAACGGTACGGGGTGAGAGAAGAACCCACATGAAATGAGAGAGAGGAGGCGCGGAGACCCTGCAGAGTGTGGCCAAACAGGGTTTGCAATGTGCATTGCCTGAAGGCTTAGTGATTTTGGCTGAGGTAGCAGTGGCAGCAGCCTACAGAACTATCCCTTGCCGCTCGATATCTCCTTTGTGACTTGTTCAAAAGCAAGCCAGAACAATGAGACTGGAGAAAGCCTGTAGACTTCAGTTTCGATCGAGCTGCAAAACTGAAGTGTTGAGAGGGTGTGGGTATTCATTCAGATGGCTTCATCAGGCGTGAAGGTACCACTGTGTCACTCTGGTAGCGTGAAGCTTTGTGTGGCGTTTGGACGTTTCTCTTCCCTCCCCAGATTGGGTTCACGGGTGGCAGCAGCTTGCGTGCTGAGGGCCAGACAGATATTGAATGCAATGCCAGTGGTTGTGTCGTCACTGGCAACTTGGCACATCTTGGCATCTTCAGCTGGTCACAACACCATCATGTCCATATGAGCCACCTCGTGGGGCCCTGCCCAATGGGAAGACAAATGAATGACAGCAGCGCCAGAGTCAATCCGTTCGCTTTTACATAAGTGTCACGTTTTTCCGCCTCCCTGAACTGACAGAAATGCGTTGTGCCGCAGCCGCGCAAGCTTTCTGTTACCAGGCATGGACCCCGCTTACTATCACACATGTGATTCAGCAATCTCGATTGCGTCTTCGCTCTACCTGATCTGGATTCTGCTGGGTTGCTCGGCAGCAGCATTTTGTCTCTTCTCAGCTTGCAGTTGGTTGCTTTGCTATGTTGGGCCAGAATAAGTATTCAGGTCATATCATCATATCAGTAACGTTGGGGCATTGCAAATGTTGCAATTGTAATTGAACACACCTGCTCCCAACGTACATTTGGAGGCCTGTTATCTTTCAACTTTGCCAGGACCAGCTCTGCTTAGTTGACAGGAAGACAGCGTAGTCGCTCCTACTTACGCAGGAGTGGGCAGTGTGCTTGCATGGCACTTATTACATATGTCTTATTTTGCATTTGCCATGAATCAAGCCCAAAGGTGGTGTGTTGCTGGTGGTTGGTGCGCTCAGACGCAGCAGCTTGTGCAAATACAATGCAAATACCCAAGGTACGGGGTTTGCTACCTCAAAAAGTAGGCTGTAGGAAATCCAACGCAGGAATCTTGGTTTCCACACCATCTTTTGCACCCGCTGCGCCAGGTTGCGGGTTCATTTTCCATGCCGTTGCAGCAACACCTGAGAGGCGCTTCTCTCAGATCTGGGACGGCAGTAGGTGCTTTGCTCCGGGCGTTTTTCCAAAAGGAACCGTCCGAAACTTTCCGGCACCTTCTCAGAGTGTGTACAAGTGAGGTGTATTCGAATGTTTTTCAGGTGATTCGTACTCCTGCTTCTTGCCATATTGGGTGGTTGGTTTGAGAAGGCCATAGTCGAAGGTGCTGGAGAGTTCTCATGGCTTTAAAACAAACTCTTTGAAAGCTGGTCTTCAGCAGAGGGCCAAGAGCTATGTAAAAAGTGCCGACATCAACTGTTCCTCTTGAAGTTTCAAAGGTGGATGTCGCAGAAGCAGCAGTTTTCAGTGGGAGGAACAGAGGTCGCTTTGGTTCTGACGTCTTCATGTTTCACGTTCCAGCACTCTCCGTGCTACACGTCCAAAGCGATGGAACCAGGGTGCAGTGCAGCTTGGCTTGCCAAAGGCAGCTGACCTCGGTTAAGTACGGTGAGAAAGATGCGGAACGCTGCGCATGAAGGAGATGGTTTCAGCCATGGATTGATGGGGATTGGATCCAGGCTGCTGGATTGGCCAAGATCATCCAAGGTCGTGATCCCAGCACAGGGGTCCTTTGTGGCGGCACTGAGCCGCGGGCTGATGGCTCCGTCCTTGCTTGGTGAAGGACAGGGCCGAAAAACGTGGAGCTGATAATGAAACCATCCAGACATCTCAGAACTGAGTAGCCAAAAGAATTTTGGAACAATTCTTGATTGAGCATATAACATAAGACCTCAGGAATTTCCCACGGGTTGCATCTTCCTTGCGCGGTTTGGCCTATTTGGAGCCCTAGTATCCATCCTCTTGGGTTTCGTTCGATTTTTGTTTCTCGGTTTGGCTCCTGGGCTTTATTGAAAGTAATGATCCTCTGAAAGCAGCACCCCAATACTGCCATACAAAAGATGGGAGAATCGAAATTAAACTCTGCAACTCTGCGTCAACAGAACGCCTATGCCAGCATGAGGAACAACTAGATACAGCCCCAAACCACAAAACCCGTAGGTTCCCAATGCACAGCCCCAAGCTCGGTCCAACAGGCCCCCAAGTTTCTGACCGTAGGTTGCCAACATCCCAAGCTCAGTCCAACTGGCCCTAAAAGACCTGTAGGTTGCCAACATATGGCCTCAAACTCCGTCCAACAGCTTAAGACATGTAAGTTGCCGCCAAGCAACCCCAAACTCTCCATAAGACCTGTATGTTGCCTACATACAGCACCAAACTCGGTGGTTGCCAACATGCAACCCCACGCTCGGTCTAACAGGCCCACAAGACTTGCTGGAGGTTTCCAACAGGCACTGTAGGCCGGCATACAGCCCCAAGCTCGGTCCAACAAGCCCTATGGAACCTGTAGGTTGCCGCCATACCTTCCAGTTCGGTCCAACCGGCCCCAAAAGAATCCAAAAGACATGTAGGTTGCCAACATATACCTCCAAACTCGGCCCAACAGGTCCCATAAGACTTGTCGGTTGCTGCCCCAAGCTCGGTCCAACAGGCGACTTGGGACCCGTAGGTTGCCAACATACAGCCCGAAGCTCGCCCAAAAGACCTCTAGGTTGCCAACATAGAGCCCCAAGCTCGGCACAGAAGGCAGCATAATTAAGACCTGTAGGTTTCGGACATACAGCCCCAAGCCCAGCCTAACAAGCCTCACAAGATCTGTAGACATACAGCCCCTCTGCTCGGTCCAGCAGGCCCCAGAAGGCCTGTAGGTTTCCAACATTCAACCCCAAAGCTCCATCGAACAGACCCCATACCTGTGAGTTGCCAACATGCAGCCCCATGAGACCTGTAGGTGGCCACGTTGCCAACAGGTAGCCCCAAGCTCGGCCCAAAAGCCACCATGGACATAGGTCCCCTGATAGCCCAAGACTTGCGCGGGCCCGAGGGTCTTCAGGTCAGCATTTTATCGTCTATATCTTCTTGCATTCTGTCTGGCATCTGTGTCTAGCAAATCTTTTCCGGTATTTATTCTGGCAATCCAACAAATATTTTCAAATATATTTTGGCATAAACTGACATAGGCGGACCCGCGCGGGTTTTGCGGTTGAGGTCAGGCGCGGCGAGGAGGACAAGAAGGAGGAGAGGAGTGGCTGACATAGAATCTCACAACCCGGAACATGCAGGCAGGTGAAGGGACAACAGTAACAAAGTGAAAGAAGCACATGGAAGCACGATACAGGCAGCACAGTCCCTATCCGCTATGGTGTTTTATTCAATCAAAGGGCATGGTCACGCGGTATGAAGTTCCAAAGATTCAAAAAATGAGTGAACTTAAATCATCTTAACCTCCGTGTGGACTGAACCCTTGCCTGTTGCTCCCTCCAAAACTCCAAGTTTGTCTACAATCACAGAAAAGCGATTCATGAGCGCTGTCATGCAAAGTAGAGGTCAGTTCGTCTCATCACATTTTGATTGTAGTTCATATACAATGCAAGGCAAAAACAATCTTGCTAACCTCACAATGCCTTTTTCTTCACCAGGGCAGCGGGCTCGCGGGCCCGAGGGTCTTCAGGTCAGCATTTTATCGTCTATATCTTCTTGCATTCTGTCTGGCATCTGTGTCTAGCAAATCTTTTCCGGTATTTATTCTGGCAATCCAACAAGTATTTTCAAATATATTCTGGCATAAACTGACATAGTCGGACCCGCGCCTTCTATCTGGCATATCTTTTGGCATGCTATCTGGCATATGTGTCTATCTGGCATAACTTCTGACAATTCAAGGCTGCCATGCTATCCGGCATCTCTTTTGGAATTCTTTCTGGCATACGTGGCTATTGTGTCTTCTCACTTTCATCGTGGCATTCTATCTCACCCAGGCGCTTGTGATCCAGGTCCGGCGGGCACCACTCTGATCCGGGTTTTGCGGTTGAGGTCAGGCGCGGCGAGGAGGACAAGAAGGAGGAGAGGAGTGGCTGACATAGAATCTCACAACCCGGAACATGCAGGCAGGTGAAGGGACAACAGTAACAAAGTGAAAGAAGCACATGGAAGCACGATACAGGCAGCACAGTCCCTGTCCGCTATGGTGTTTTATTCAATCAAAGGGCATGGTCACGCGGTATGAAGTTACAAAGATTCAAAAAATGAGTGAACTTAAATCATCTCAACCTCTCCGTGTGGACTGAACCCTTGCCTGTTGCTCCCTCCAAAACTCCAAGTTTGTGTACAATCACAGAAAAGCGATTCATGAGCGCTGTCACGCAAAGTAGAGGTCAGTTCGTCTCATCACATTTTGATTGTAGTTCATATACAATGCAAGGCAAAAACAATCTTGCTAACCTCACAATGCCTTTTTCTTCACCAGGGCAGCGGGCTCGCGGGCCCGAGGGTCTTCAGGTCAGCATTTTATCGTCTATATCTTCTTGCATTCTGTCTGGCATCTGTGTCTAGCAAATCTTTTCCGGTATTTATTCTGGCAATCCAACAAATATTTTCAAATATATTCTGGCATAAACTGACATAGTCGGACCCGCGCGTTCTATCTGGCATATCTTTTGGCATGCTATCTGGCATATGTGTCTATCTGGCATAACTTCTGACAATTCAAGGCTGCCATGCTATCCGGCATCTCTTTTGGAATTCTTTCTGGCATACGTGGCTATTGTGTCTTCTCACTTTCATTGTGGCATTCTATCTCACCCAGGCGCTTGTGATCCAGGTCCGGCGGGCACCACTCTGATCCGGGTTTTGCGGTTGAGGTCAGGCGCGGCGAGGAGGACAAGAAGGAGGAGAGGAGTGGCTGACATAGAATCTCACAACCCGGAACATGCAGGTGAAGGGACAACACTAACAAAGTGAAAGAAGCACATGGAAGCACGATACAGGCAGCACAGTCCCTGTCCGCTATGGTGTTTTATTCAATCAAAGGGCATGGTCACGCGGTATGAAGTTACAAAGATTCAAAAAATGAGTGAACTTAAATCATCTCAACCTCTCCGTGTGGACTGAACCCTTGCCTGTTGCTCCCTCCAAAACTCCAAGTTTGTGTACAATCACAGAAAAGCGATTCATGAGCGCTGTCATGCAAAGTAGAGGTCAGTTCGTCTCATCACATTTTGATTGTAGTTCATATACAATGCAAGGCAAAAACAATCTTGCTAACCTCACAATGCCTTTTTCTTCACCAGGGCAGCGGGCTCGCGGGCCCGAGGGTCTTCAGGTCAGCATTTTATCGTCTATATCTTCTTGCATTCTGTCTGGCATCTGTGTCTAGCAAATCTTTTCCGGTATTTATTCTGGCAATCCAACAAATATTTTCAAATATATTCTGGCATAAACTGACATAGTCGGACCCCGCGCGTTCTATCTGGCATATCTTTTGGCATGCTATCTGGCATATGTGTCTATCTGGCATAACTTCTGACAATTCAAGGCTGCCATGCTATCCGGCATCTCTTTTGGAATTCTTTCTGGCATACGTGGCTATTGTGTCTTCTCACTTTCATTGTGGCATTCTATCTCACCCAGGCGCTTGTGATCCAGGTCCGGCGGGCACCACTCTGATCCGGGTTTTGCGGTTGAGGTCAGGCGCGGCGAGGAGGACAAGAAGGAGGAGAGGAGTGGCTGACATAGAATCTCACAACCCGGAACATGCAGGCAGGTGAAGGGACAACAGTAACAAAGTGAAAGAAGCACATGGAAGCACGATACAGGCAGCACAGTCCCTGTCCGCTATGGTGTTTTATTCAATCAAAGGGCATGGTCACGCGGTATGAAGTTCCAAAGATTCAAAAAATGAGTGAACTTAAATCATCTTAACCTCTCCGTGTGGACTGAACCCTTGCCTGTTGCTTCGCGCCCGATAGCCCAAGACTAGCGCGGGCCCGGGCACACGGTGGACCATAGCCGCCACCATGAGACCTGTAGGTTGCCAACATACAGTCCCTAAGATGCGCCAAGCTGGGTCTAAGAGGCCCCAAAAGATCTGCAGGTTGTCAACATACAGCCCCAAGCTCGACCGCCTGTAGGTTCCCAACTTACAGCCCCAAGCTCCGTCAAACCGGCCCCAGAAGACGTGTAAGACGTGTAGGTTGCCAACATACAGCCCCAACAGACCTCATAAGATGTGTCAGTTCCCAAGGTAGGTCCTAGAGCCAAGTAAAGACAAAGTAAGCGGCTGCTCTGAACTGACACTGTCAACTAAGTCCCTCGCTTGTAGAAAGTCCAGCAGTTCTGGCAAGTATCGGGCAGTTTGAATACTACAGATACTTGGAATGGAAAGTATCGAGCGGGTTTTAAGCTTTAAACGTGCGAGACCAATGTCCGTTCTCTACGAATATTCCGGGGCAGTTACCTCTCCCTTAACTGTTTCAATTTGTTTGCATCTATTTGCTCTTGTCAGGATATTGCGCCTCTTTGGACGCGGACGAGGGAGGAAAAGAAGAGCTGACAGGTGATGAAGGAAGTGTGACAAAATGAACTTTTTTTTTTCGTTATTTGTGCCTTGTAGACCCAGCCTGCCAGTGGCGATGGACTGGCAGATGGAAAGGAAGAAGTGAACTTGCGGATTATTGGCTTGTGCGGTGCGGCCAGTTGTGTACAGCCTTCCTGCTCTCCTTCCTGCTTACTGCTTATCTGCTGGATTGCCTTCCTGCTTTCATAATTATCATAGCTGCTTGCTTGATGAGTCCATGAATTTGCCCGCAGTGTAAGTTACAAGCATATACAAGCATCATCTTCCATTTTGTCCGGCAGTATTGAATGTAGAACTGTAGAACTGCCCTAGGGCCAATTTGATGCGGGTGGTCGCTTGCAAAGGTAGCGCCTACGTTCGCGAAGATTGAGGCTGGTTGGGAGCAATTTACCAAAAGAGTAGGGCCAACCCTCTCCTCAAACGAGCTGTGCCTGAGTACCCCATTGAAAAAAGTATCCTTGCGGATTCCCCATTTGAGTTCGTTGCTTTGTGATGTGTTTGGTCCTCTTGTTGATAGGAAGCAACAGCTTTGTAGCCCGAAAAAGGTGAATCCAGAACCCAGAGTCAGGGCAATCCTAGAATAAATAGACCCCGGTTGACAAAGTTGAGGCTGGAAGGCTTGACGTTGGTCTTGTTTCCAAAGGTGCACAAAATACCTGGTGGATCCTGGTGGTATTGAAGGGTTGAATTCCATTCAAATCCTGAGGCGAGGATAGGCTTCAACAAGAAACACCAGGACCGCAGTGGGCATAAGTCTGGCAGCTCTGACGCCAACACCTTTTCGGAAAGAGGGGCATTTGACGAGTTCAACTTGTGACCTTTCTGCCTTGTTGACAATTCATGCGTGGGCATGGTAGGTTTTTGGAACCTTCATCATGTGTGAGTTGTATCTGTTTCGACCACCAGCGGCCGGGCTCAGGGTGTGACCTGCGCTCTTTTTTTGCTAGATTTTTGTGAGGTCAATGCATTGGTCCCCAGATCGTAGCATATTCATGCCCATTCAGCACATCAACAAATCATCATCAAGCTACAGCCCATCATAATACATCCATCCCTCAGCAGTTTGAAACACTTGTGCACTGCTACGAAACACATAAAGACATGCAAGAACGTGTAAATGCATATTATTTCCATATTATTTCCATATTTCCATCGATTTCACAGCAACCACTACCAGATGACAGGGACCTTTTTTGGGTGATCAGTGAGTGCCACATTTGATTCGGCCATGGGATCGAACCACTCCAGTCACTCCCAAGAGGTGCAGGTAGAGAGCACCACCGACACTCAGATGCGCACAGGGTGCTGGAGAAGGGGAGAGTTGTTCGAGGGGTTCTTCTCTTACTTATTGATCAAAGGAAGTTGGGAAGCAATCTTCCGAGTTATGGATTACTTTTATTCAAGTGACTTCACATAACAATACATCGCATAACAGTACATCACGTAACAATACATCAACGAAGGGTGGTGTGAGACTTTACATAACAGTACATACCAGTAGTACCGCACAAGGCGGCGGCGGAAGTTTCAAAAATAGGAAACCTATAGGAGAGGTTGGTTGTCGTCAATCACGGATGGCAGAGCGAATCCACTGATGGACCGAAAGGTGGTTGGAGTTGTGTTTTTTTTGAGTGGTTGCAATGGTTGCAGTGGACACCTCACCCCACAACTGCTGGATGTAGTGTGGTGTAGTGCAGTTGTAGTTCTAGTTGTAGTGTAGTGGAGTTGTAGTTGTAGTGTAGTGTAATTAGTGTAGTGTAGTTGTAGTGGTAGTTGTAGTTGTAGTGGTAGTTGTACTTGTAGTTGTAATGTAGTGTAGTGTAATGTAGTGTAGTGTACCATAGTGTAGTGTACTGTCGTGTTGTGTACTGTAGTGTAGTATAGCGTAGCGTAGTCTAATGTAGTATAGTGTGAAGTGGTGTAGTTGTAGTTGTGGTGTAGTGTCGTGTAATTGTAGTTGTCATTGTAGTGTAGTGTAGTGTAATTAGTGTAGTGTAGTGTAATGTTGTGTACTGTAGGAGGAGGAGTAGTAGCAGCAGTCGTAGTAGTGGTAGTGGTCGTGGTGGTGGTGGTAATAGTAGTAGTGGTAGTGGTAGTGGCAGTGGCAGTGGTAGTAGCAGCAGCAGTAGCAGCAGCAGTAGCAGCAGCAGTAGCAGTAGCAGTAGCAGCAGCAGCAGTAGTAGTGTAGCAGGAGTAGTAGCAGTAGTAGTAGTAGTAGGAGGAGGAGTAGTAGTAGTAGTAGTGGTAGTGGTAGTGTTAGTAATAGTAGTAGTAGTCGTAGTAGTAGTTGTTGTTGTAGTTGTCGTTGTCGCTGTAACGTAGTGTACTGTAATTAGCGTAGTGTAGTTGTAGTTGTAGTCGTAGCGGTAGCTGTAGTTGTAGTTGTAGTGTAGTGATAGTTGTAGTTGTAGTTGTAGTTGTCTATCTGTCTATCTGTCTATCTGTCTATCTGTCTATCTGTCTATCTATCTATCTATCTATCTATCTGCAAGCTTGAAAGCGAAGCTATTCTGCGAGACTTCCTTCATTTTCGAACTTGACAACATCAAAAACGCAGCAATTCTGCGAGACTTCTTCAGTTTTTTGAACTTGACAACGTCAGAAACGAGACAGTAAAATTGAGACTTCCTTTTTTTTTCGAAGTTGACAGCATCAAAAATGAAGTCTGCAAGACTTAGTTCAAAAATGGAAAGTTGAGTGCAGAGCTGACGGCCTCGTGCCAATGCGTTTTGCGATTTTTCGGTGGGGTCTAAAGTACTGCGCCTGCCATGAAAAATGATGCCAGGTCATATGAAGTGCTGCGCCTGTCTGTCACGCAAATCATCTTAGCAAACCTGAAGATCTGATGCTCCAAAATGCAACCCCTCTCAGGAAATCTCCGCCCCTAACACATCCAACTCATGTGTCTCTTGTACTGGACCTGCAACGCGAAATGCGTCTTTCCAGATCCCCATCAAGTGTCCCACGCCTGCGATCGCTTTTGAAATTGCCACAAGACCCTCATGTTTTGCTCACTTTTGACAAGGTGCACAGTCCCTTGCGCCCTTCCACGCGTCCGAACATGTGGTGTTTTTAATTTTTAACCTTTTGACTTGGAAATGTGCTTCGCGCCACAAAGGCGTGTAACTTTTCATCTCTCATCTGGCCGGCTCTGCAGACGCCGCTTTAGCGAGCCTACTTTTCGACCCTCCGGAGCCACAAACCATTAGAAAAACACAATGTTTCGCGCCTTTCCTACCTTTTCTCGCACCTGCATCTTTTTCTTCTCAGTCTTTCTCTTCTCTTATCTTCTCTCTTCTGCTCGTCTCCTCTCTGACTCTTCCCACCTCTGCTTTTTTCCATCTGCCCATATTGTCGGAAGTTTGACTTTAAATTTCCTTCGAACATAACAATACATCACATAACAACACATCACACAACAATACATCAAACAATACATCGCATAACAATACATCACGCAACAACACATCACATAACAATACATCAAGGGAAGTGGTGACTATGACGAAGGGTGGTGACTTAGGCAAGTGGTGACGAAGGGTGATGACGAAGGGTGACTAAGGGAAGTGGTGACCAAGGGGCGTGAATCAGGGAAGTGGTGACTTAGGGAAGTGGTGACTTAGGGAAGTGGTGACTAAGGGAAGTGGTGACCAAGGCAAGTGGTGACTGAGGGAAGTGATGACGAAGGGTGATGACGAAGGGAGGAAGCCGTTGTTTTTTTCCCGTACTAAGTGGCTGCAGGCGGCGGTGAAGGGTACCGAAGGGAGTGGTGATAGAGGGAAGTGGTGACTTAGGGAAGTGGTGACTAAGGGAAGTGATGACCAAGGGCAAAGTGGTGACTGAGGGAAGTGGTGACTTAAGGAAGTGGTGACCTAGGGAAGTGGTGACTGAGGGAAGTGATGACGAAGGGTGATGACTCAGGGAGGAAGCCGGAGCACGAAACCTTGTGTTTCTCCGTACCAAGTGGCTGCAGGCGGCGATGAAGGGTACCTTGTGTGTGCGGCGGTTGCGGCTGCGCCGCGAATCGGTTCTCCCTTGGTGTTCTGCAACGTGTGGTTGTTCATGTGTGCGTAGTTATAGGGTGCTTTGGAATCTGTGCTTGCAGATCCCAGTGTAATGGTTGTCACGTTTTGTGGCCATGTGTGTCGAGACATGCGGGTTAGACATGTGATGCTGCAAAACGCATTGTAATGGCTGCATGACTGTTGCATGGGGTTTGTTTTGGGGAGGAGGCCGGAGCACGAAACCTTGTGTTTTTCCTTGCAAAGTGGCTGCAGGCGGCGATGAAGGGTACCTTGTGTGTGCGGCGGTTGCGGCTACGATCGTTCCGGGCGCGAATCGGTTCTCCCTTGGTGTTCTGCAACGTGTGGTTGTTCATGTGTGCGTAGTTACAGGGTGTTTTGGAATCTGTGCTTAGACGCGTGATGCTGCAAAACGCATTGTAATGGCTGCATGACTGTTGCATGGGGTTTGTTTTGGGGAGGAGGCCGGAGCACGAAACCTTGCGTTTTCCCGTGCAAAGTGGCTGCAGGCGGCGATGAAGGGTACCTTGTGTGTGCGGCGGTTGCGGCTACGATCGTTCCGGGCGCGAATGGGTTCTCCCTTGATGTTCTGCAACGCGTGGCTGTGCATGTGCGTAGTTATAGGGTGTTTTGGAATCTGTGCTTGTGATTGTTGTTGCGTTTTGTTGCTATGTGTGTCGAGACATGCGATGCTGCAAAAAGCATTGTAATGGTGGCTGCATCAAGGTTCCTCGCTGCTGCGGCTGTTTGCCTAATATTGTCTTTCGCAGCTGAGCGTCGTGAATCGTATTCGAGTCGCTGCATCAAGGTTGCGCTGGTGATTTGTCAGTAGATTTTCTCAAGTTTGCCGCTTGTGCTTTTGCAGCTTGTGCTTTTCCTTTTGTAATTCCTTTTAAAGAGTGCTTCAAAATGGAGATTCTGTTTTGGAGCTTCAATTTCTGGTGCCGTTGCGCATAATTCTTTTGTGTTTTGCAACTCGGTCTCTGCAGATTGCATTGTAATGGCTGCATCAAGGTTCTTCCCTGCTGCGGCTGCCTGCGTAATACCATTGTCTTTTTCAGCTGGGAGTCGTGAATCGTATTGCGGTGGCTGCATCAAGGTTGCGCTGGTGATTTGTCAGTAGATTTTCTCAAGTTTGGCGCTGGTGATTTTCCGATTAAAATTCCTTTTAAAAACTGCTTCAAAATCGGTTTTTTTTCGCTTTGGCGCCGAGATCCGCTTTTCGAGCTGCAATTTCTGACGCTGTTGCGCGAAGTTCTATTGTGTTTTGCAGCTCAGTCTCTGCAGATTGCATTGTAACGGCTGCGTCAATTTTGCTTGGTCCAGTTTTGGAGCTGCAATTTCTGCTGTCATTGTGTACAAGAAAACCTCTCTGTGTAAAAGCTTGCTGTGTGTAAAGTTTTTTTATGTGTAGAAACTTCCTGCCTGTAAAAGTTTTCTTTGTGTAAATGCTTCTCTGCGTAAATACTTGCTTTGTGTAAAAACTTTCTTTGTGTCAAAGCTTTCTGTGTGTAAAAGCTTGCTGTGTGTAAAGCTTTCTGTGTGTAAAAGTGCCTCTGTGTGTAACAGCTTTCTTTGTGTCAAAACTTTCTGTCTGTAAAAGCTTGCTGTGTGTAAAGCTTTCTGTGTGTAAAAACTTCTCTGTGTGTAAAAACTTTCTCTGTGTGAAAAAACTTCTCCGTGTAAAAACTTCTGTGTAAAAGCTTATTGTGAGCAAAAACTTCTCCGCGTAAAAACTTGCTGTGTGTAATTTTTTTTTTAAAAAAAACAATTTATTTTTTATTTTTTTAGCGCTCGCTGATCTTAGACATAGCTAACTATTTTTCCTGATGCCGGTTTCGGGTTCTTATTTCCTCTCTTGAATTCGTCTCAATCTTTTCAGCCTGACCGGATATCATGTGTCTTAAAGGTGTTGTACTCACTCCCAGTTTATCGCTTGTTGTTTTAACTTCTAATTTTACAACGATTTTCTCAACAGTCCTTGCCCAACACAACATGGGGCGCCCTTTTTAAGTTGTGCACGGAAACTCTTGTGAAAAGCGCTTTCTTTGTGTAAAAACTTCTCTGCGTAAAAGCTAACAGTTTTCTTTGTGTATATAAAAATTTTCTCTGTGTAAAAACTTGCTGTGTGTAAAGCTTTCTGTGTGTAAAACCTTCTCTGTGTGTAAAAGCTTGCCGGTGTAAAAGTGTCCCTGTGTAAAAGCTTGCTGTGTATAAAAACTCGTTGATGTGTAAAAACTTTGTGCGCAGTGTACTAGGAAGTGCCTGTGCAACCTGTGTAGTGCACAGTAGTACTTGTGCAAGCTTTGTAGTACTGGGAAGTGCTTTGTGCAAGCTTTGTAGTACGAAGTAGTTCTGGGACGTGCTCGTTGCAAGCTTTGTAGTACAACGTAGTACTGGGAAGTGCCTTGTGCAAGCTTTGTAGCACAAAGTATTTTGCAAAGGCTTTTCTGTGTGAATGCATCTGTGTCTAAGCTTCGGTGTGCAAAAGCTTTCTGCGCCCAATGGTTTTTTGTGAAAGAGACTTCTCTCTGACAGTAAGAGCTTTCTGGCGTGCAGAACAGCTGAGATGAGTTGAGAAGAACTTCGAGGAGACCAGAAAGGTTGATCAGTGCTCGGATGAGATGAAAACAGTTGAGAAGAGCTTGGCTTAGACGACATGTGAGAAGAGATGGGATGAGATGAGAAGAGCTGAGATGAGGTGAGGTGAGGTGAGAAGAGCTCACGTGATTTGAGATGAGATGAAGTGTGGAGTGTGAAGTGCAAGTGTGAAGTGTGAAGTGCGGGGTGTGAAGCGTGCACTGTGAAGTGTGAAGAAAGTGCACGCTTGGAGTTGCATTGCGCCGGGGTCGCGCGCAGGTCATGCTCTTGGACAACAACACCGCAACAGGTTCGCGCAAAACACGGGCCTGACTGGCGCACGGCGCATGCAAGTGCTATATATAGATGAAAAAAATATAGTATAACTGTATAACCCTAAGGCAATCTCCGCCCCAACTTGTGCGGGCACTACTTGTTTTTTAATTACTTTTGGGTTTGTAAAGGTTTGTTCAGAATTTGGGTACATCACCACGTCCCAAACTTGCAATTTCAATGGGGGACAAATCATTGGATATATTGGATTTTGGGGCACCCTATTCTTGGACAAATCCTGCATTCGTAACGCAGATCAAAGTCCCAGAAAAAGGAAGCTGCAGACCTGAAACAATGATGGACAAGAGGAGGCCATGACAATGATGTGAACACATGTGAACAAATTGGGACAGAATTGGACCTGGAGATGTGCGGTGAGGGTTTGCAGTTTCGCTTAGCGGGTAGTAGCTTGCAGTGAATTGCCAAGGTAGACCCAAAACAGCCGCTTTCACTTCCGATCCAAAATCGACGCACACGATCAGTGACGCTAGCGCCCCCTGAGCCCCAGAATCTTGGAAAAAAACATCATGTCCAGGGTCCTCTAGCTTTGCCGGAGGGTGTATCCGTTCCACAAATTTCCACACTGTAAACCATGTTGAATGGGAATCAACCTGTCTTAAAAGAGGGTTTGTTTTTTCAAAGCGTTACCTTTCAATCTTGTGTTCGCTTCGGTGGTTCTGTTGCAGACATGATGTGTTGTTGATGTACAGTGATTGCTAGGCAAACCGGTGGCGTGAATCAATTTAGTATCGTTACAGAACATTGCAGAGGGTTTGCGCCATTTTGCGTTGCTTTTCGGCTGGAACTGTATTTGTGGATTGACAGACCTTCAATCCTTTGAATGGATTGGATCAGTGACAAAGATGTTTCCACACATAGACAAAAAAACAATCACAAACCATCATAAATCATCGTAAACCATCATTGAATCATAAACCATCATGAACCATCATGCAGGACGTCCTGCTCTTCCATTTCAGGTCTACAAACTCAACATGTTTTTCAAGTTCCTCCGCCATCCTGCACTCTGCTGAGGCTTGGTTCAGGTTTGCCGATCAAGAGTCGGCGTACTCGTGGAGTCACTCTGGAACCTGCGCCAGGTAGCTGAGCTGCAATACTGGCAATACTAATTACTAATTTATTTAATTATGCAATAGCTGCAATAGCTTTCGATTCCATAACTGGTCTTCTATGGGTCCAGTGGAGTGGGCATAATTATGGGGTCTCTTGAGAACAATGGGCAAGACGGGCCCTGAGGTCGCGAAACAGCAGGCTATGGTGAGCGCACACTGGCCGCGCCTCCTGATATGGCAAGATCTCCAGTTGCAGTGTTGTCCTCGCCAGCCTCAGCACAGAGCAAGTCCCATGGCTCCCATCCGGGCACACCATCAGTGCAAATTGCCCAATCCGCAAGGTCCAGGGTCCACTTTGCCACGTCCCCTGCATCAGTAGTGGAAATCACGCCATACAGTTGGGCTTCGAGTGCATCATCGCCAGTGTTTGAATCTCCGACTTCACCACATCTTTGGATGAACACTTTGCACCTGAGTCCGCCAACCGGATATCCGGCCGTGCCTTCGACTCAAGCCATTCCCTCGCAAGCTGTAGCTGCACAAGTAGCACCAGCAGCACCACCCGCACCAGCTCAAGTGATGCTGCCTTTGCAGGCGGTGGCGCCAGCCGTGCCAGCAGCGCCAGCTGTGCCAAGCCTTCCAGTTACAGCAGGTCAACTAAGTCAACCAGCTGCGGTGCCACCTATGCTGCCACAGCAGGTGTTTTGGAGAGCACCAGCTGCCACCACTGTGACAGCTGGGGCTGAGTGGTCCGGAAATCCCCCACCGTCGGCGCATCCCATGCACAGGTGATGGGGTAGGCAGTGCAGATTCGGAGACTTTTGGCTGGGCCTCAGAGATCATGAAGAGCCAAAGGCCCTCCAAGGTTGGACAGGTCCAATGCTAATTCAAGATGCAGACCAGATCCAGTGGGCAAATCAATCCGTCAATTTGTGCGTCGGATGGCTTCACAGAAGTGTTGAATTGACATCCGATGACTTTGGTGTCATATACATCAAGAAGTTCCAGCTTCTTAGACAAAATTTTGCGATTCCAAAGGAATCCAAGATCGAACAGTAAGTTTCACCAATTCACTTTTTGCGGTTTTTCTTTTTGCTTGCCTTACTGTGGCACCGACTGCATCTCAGCCAGATTCCACAAGCAGAAAAAAAGGGCAACGCTGGCATACTCTATGGCATACAGAGAGGTACCTTGCAGGAAGCTTCCATAATCTTCTAATCTGACGGTAAAATTCCATCGTTTCCCTTCAATCAACCCATTGAGAACAAAGCCCGGGAAGATTCCTCCAGGAAATGCTCTGCAGCTTCGGACGTTTCCAAGGTCAGGATGCAGAGAAGAGGCTTATTTTAAGCTATGTCAAATTATATTCTATGTTTAAACACTTGATAAGCCATTATCACATGGTAATTTGCGCATAGTGATTTCACATAGTAACTTCACATAGCACATAATGTATCATAATGTCATGCGGTTTCAATTCAGATGAATTACAAGGTACTCGTACCAAGATGATCAAGATGCCTAGCAGTATATATAGCCGGGCGAAGATTACAAAGTGATGATCAAGGTAGATTTCAAACCCTTCGCAATCCTTTCTGGCAGATTTCTTTGTCTTTCTTGTCCTCTCACTGGCTTTTTGCCAGCTGTTTTCAGGAAAGATATGACCGCTATGATCAAAGATTCAGTCTCATCAGAGGTATACCTGCCTAATACTGATATATCCTACTGGTACATGCATTTTTACATATTTTTACCCATGTTTGCTCCGCTTTGGCTTTGTTCTGCCAGTCTTTGGCTTTGGCGGTCCATGAACACAGATCTGCCTGGAGTTGAGCTTGAAATGGTTGATTTGTTCCCGAATGCATAGTGAAGTGGAGAGTGATGGAGAGTGGAGTGGAACGTGTGGACTGTGGAACTGAAAGTGTGGAGTGTGAATAGTGCAAAGGGTGGAGTGTGTAGTGTGAAGAGTGTGTAGCGTGAAGAGTGTGCAGTGTGGAATGCAGAATGTGAAGCATAGAGTGTGGATTCTACTCGTAGAGTGTGGAGCATGTCATGTTGCGTCTTGCTGCTACAGCGTGTGTTTGATTGGGTGGTTTCGCCTTGGGGATTGTCCAGTGTATCGCGTGGAGTGCAGTCGACTGCAGAGTGCAGAGTGAGGAGCGAATAGCGTATCTATTTTTTGCGTCTACCTATTCATGCATTCATTCAACAAATGCATTCGGGTTCGTGGTTTCTATCAGGTTTGTATTTTTATCCGTCAGAATCTAGAAGATCTTGGACTCACTGGCGTTAAGTTGCAAGATCTGAAAAGCAGCTTTGGACATAGCAGCCAGTTTTCCAAAGATGTAAATGAACATGTAGACTGGTAGACCTATTACTTGGCGACAAGGTCTGACCAGAGTTATTTTCAGCGGCTTAGTGCCACGGCGAGAACTTAACATCCCACCACCGCCGCTCGCAGGCGGATGTTTTGAACCGCCCTGCCTCATTGACAGACTCGGAAAAGAACACTGGGGCCGCTGCATATTGAGACCACGTTTGTGTTGACCCAGGAGAATTTTGATTCATGTCTAATCATGTCTATTTGGGGTTGTGAAGTTGTTGGAGAGCCTTTACAACCACCAGGGACGGCAGAGGTTTTTGACGCTTGTCCTGCGACCAGCTCTTCCCTCTCAAAACAGCCAGAGCTTTTGTCAGAGCTGTAGGTCCTTTGTGGATGCCCAAGGGGCTGACAACACCTGGTTAAGGTGGGAGGTGTTGCATCTGCAAATCATACCTTTTTCGTCAGAGCTTGAAGAGACAACTGGTCCAATAAGAGGCAACCACATCATTTAAATAAGACGCTGCAAGCCTGAAAGTCTTGCCGAAAGGTAAGTTGGCATCAGACGGCATGAGTAGTGTTGACATACACTCATACAGGGAAGCAGTGCACGACGCACATTTATACAATGACGAACCTGTAAAGATGCACATCGCTCCTTTTTATCTGCGAAAGAAACGTGCGGTCAGCATTGTCAGCATGCTGAAAGGCTGGCTCGTTCCTTTGTGGCAACCTACACTTACAGCTTTGGCACGGGCACCCAGTGGACTGCCTCCTCTGTGACTGGGCCCTAGGCCCTAGGCCCTTTTATCTTTCAAATTTGTTTCCTTTTTTGATGATATTTGATGCCAAATAGTCAATGTTGATATCGGTGTGATGCACCTGGCTTGGAGGATTTCTGCTCAAACAGTCGACTCGGTCGTCGACTCGAGTGATCTTTGACTCGCGACACCTCGTGCACCTTTGGCAGATGACGTACAAGGAGCTTCTTGAAGAAGTGAAGCAACGTCGATTGGCACAGCTTTTCGAGTATCTCAGCGCGGTGTTCAGCGCTTATATTCACGCGTGTCGCAATGTGTGTTGACTTGTCACTTCTTGAAACCCTTAATTCAGTTCCAACATGCTGAATCAGCTACTTACTTATGTTGCTTTTACTCTATCACCAGCCGAGACTTGCAGAACGGAATCACACGAATAGTTTTGGCAATGCACTTATTGTGGTAAAACGTGCATAAACGTGCCAGGTATGAGATTTGCACTCCGAAGATCGCAAAAGATTTTCTTGACAAGCTGTCCAAGCTGGAAGGTGAAGATGCTTCCTCGGATGAAGCCAAGGAAGTCCTGAAGTTCAAAGATCAGCTCAAGACGGCATCTGAAGGAGAAGGAGGAGATTGGACAGAACCTGTTGACGGTGGTTGCATGGAAATTTTTGAGCAACTCCAAAGCTGGGAAGAAAGCGTCAAGGAGGGAACTCTTGAAGCCAGAGAGATTGAGGGCATGGTGGAGTATGTCGAAAAGAAGTGGGTTCCCGATCCAAAGATGAGCAAGATAGCGGCTGCCGTGCTTGAGAAGGCCAAACCAATGGTCCAAGCTGCAAAGAAAGCTGAGAGAGACAAGGAGCAATCTCGGGTCGTCAGTGAGATGAAGTTCACGACAGGTCTTGCTGAGGGAGTCATAGCAACCTATGGAATGCTGGGCTTCACTGTTCCACACTTCATCATCTCAGGGACTGTCCCGCCTATGGAGCAGCTTGAGTCAAAGCTGACCTACTTCAAGGAAGGTTTGGCCATTGACCCTGAGTCCGAGCTTGGGAAGCAGCTTTCTGCGGGCATTGAGAAGGTTGAAGGTCTCATACCTCAAATGCAGTTGATTTGCAAGGAGAACCCACGTCAGGATATGAAAGAGAGTGCAGACTACAAGCAGACCATTGCTCTGAAGGCCACGCTCATGGCAGGCTCTGCATGTGCAATCAAAGGCAACCTAGAGGAGCTGGGCAAGATGATTGAGAAAGCTGAGGCAGCCCTAAAGGAAGATGGAGAAGCCACACTTTTCGAAGGTGAAGCGAAGCAAAAGATTCTCACCAAAGCTCAATATGACAAGGGCCTTGAGGTGCTCAAGGCTAAGTTGAAAGAGCTGACGGAGAAGAAGGATGCCGAAGCTGCCGATGCCAAGACCGAGAAGACCGAGAAGACCGAGAAGAGCAAGGAGACAAAGGATGAAGCTGCATGAGTTGCCGCCATGCTATGCCTAGCTACACCTCACAGCTTTTTGTCATCTCCACTTGGTCACTGGGTGTTTCGGCAAAGCTGGACACTGAGGGACTGAGGGGCCACATTGTGGACAATACGATTTTCCCCCTTCGCTCCCATAGGGAAGCGCACCTCTGGATGTAGCATCATAGCAGCATCATTGTGCAGACACCATCAAAAAGGGCCCAAATGCTGTTGAATCCTTTCGCCAAAGTAGTTATGGGATTTTGATGTGGGAAGAAATTCGCTTGGCACAACCACCGCACTGAAACCCATGAAATTCCAAAGTGATCTCAAGCATTGCAGTGGTCTTGCGTGCCCAAAATGGCCTCATGAACAAACTGGGATTGAAAAGCTCAATGAACAGATCCCTACATACTTTTATTGTAAACGTGTTGCCTTTAAACTGAGGCGGAGGTGTGATCCGAGATGTGGTTGCCAGGTACCAGCTGCCTCACCAATCTGGGATCCTGCGGGAAAAGGGTCAACCCTGAAAAACCAAGTGTAAAGCTGGTGGAGTTTCCAAGCCTGCGGATTTTCTTGCGGATTTTCTTTTGCTTCCAAGCAAGGGAGGTTGGACAACTGCACTGACTGCGCTTGCAGGTGTGCTTTTGGCGAGGCTGCTGGAAGCGCACCTGGGTAGCAACTGGAAGGGATGACGCGGGGTATGCGAGCTCCATGGAGGTTCTGCCACTGCGTTTGTTTGTTGTGCCCAATTAGCAGCTCACCAAGGTGGGAAACTTCTCTCCCACGATTGCTGGGGCCCAAGCAACAGAGTGCAATTGGATACTCCTGGACAGTGATCAGTGATCAGACTTTCAGGGGTATTGTTTCATAGTGTGTCACATGCCACAGCTTGCGGTGAACCCTGGGAGAGTCCACATTTTGTTTTGGCTGCCAGCAGGTGTTGCCAGCGATTTTGGCGATGGCACGGGCTCCAAAAAATTTTCGCGTGGATGTGAACAGTCGCATCCATGTGCTGGCAGTTGGAAGAACTTGCATGTAGAGAATTAGAGCGAAGCGTGAGTTGCCCATGATGATTCAAAAGGTCCAAAGCCTGAATGTCCCCACCCCAACCAAGGTCCATTTCCAAGTGGCCCTCCCAGACCCTCCCCACGCAATGAGGCCTTCTACAATTGCCTCTTGATGCTTCGCAGTATCTCGGAGAATTCGCTGCGAAGTGTGCAGGGTCTCATTTCACTGGGTTGAACCTTCAATATCTCAGCCAACTTCCATGCCTTTGCCCCCATGTCATGCTACATTCTTTTGGTCAGATTCTAAGATGTTATCACATGTTGTCACCCTTCAGTGGTTTGATGTGGTTTGGTTTAAGGGAAAATGCAGGACACGCGGGTTTGTGTACGTTTTTTTGGCCCCCAACTAATCTTCAGCTCAGTCGACCGAGGTCCAGCGCTATTTCAGCTGGGCCTGGGCTTGCCCGTGTTGGCGTGCTGCCGGGCTGATTACCACTGGACCCACAAAAATTGATCAATTGTGCTGATATTGAATATATGCACACACACATATTATATATATATATATGCATAGAGTTATATACACAATTATAAGGTCCTCCACCCACATAGAGTATGGAATTGAAATTTTGGCTTCCCCGGGCATCCCAGGAATTGAAGTTGAAAAACGATACTTAGAATGCAGTTGACGTCAAAAAACCTATACTTAGAATACCGTTGGACCATATATATAAATTCTTTCACTTTTCCAGACACATTCGTAATTTTTCCATAGAAATCCTTCACTTTTCTTTATAAATCTTTCAAGTTTCCATACAATTTCTTCACTTTCTATATTTTTGCCATACAATTTCTTTCACTTTTTCAGTCAAATTCATCATTTTTCATCATTTTTCCCTATATTTGTTCATTGTTCTTTATAAATCCTTCACATTTCCATACACATTCTTCACTTTTCCATGTTCTTCCATATGTAGACAAATAGATAGGGATGTTTTTCACAAGGTGTTTGGTGACAAAAATCAAAAACTGGCAGGATCTGGCAGGGTCCCCAAATTGACCGATTTCTTATTACTTTGTGTACTAAAAAGTACAATTTTTCGCCGCCGCATAGAGATGTACAAAGGCTTCGAGAGCAAGGACCACATGGGGAGAAAAAACTCAACATGTAATGGAGGAATATTCTGAGTACATTTTTGAACAAATGCATATTCTATGTAAGCGGAGAACCTTATACATGTATATATAATATATACATATAATATACCTTATATACTTAATATAGGGTTAGAATTCAGAATGTCTCGTACACTTCTTGAACCATCCATTGCGGGGGGTCAAACATATTTATTCAGACCCACATGGATTTGGGCAATCCCAGCATCAGTGGATGGCCAAGGGCCAAAAAGATAGGGCTGAGGATTGAGCGGATGGAGCAGATGGGGTGGATACCTGGCTTCTTTTGGCTTCAATGGCTCGTGGCAACTCCACTGCTGGTGCCAGGTGCCTTTTTCTTTGGGGCGAGGCTTTTCCCTTAGGTGCAGCGGCCTTGTTGATGGGCTGCTTTCAATTGTGGCATGCAAGGGCCAAGGTACTCCGGTCCTGGGTCAGAAGAACTACGATGAGTTTGATTACATTACATGACCCATGAAACACAACATTGATAGGTGGTGAGAGGTGGAACTTTGATGACCACTGCTGCTTTTCAGGATAGTGCTTGAGATGGGCGGCCACACACACTTCAACAGCTTGCGGCCAAACAAGCAACTGCTCAGCGTAGCTGCATCCAAGCATATCACAGCCCTTCTTCCCAAATCACCAAAGGATCCAAAGATGAAGCCGCAAACTCCCAGCCACTCTGATGCCAAGAACCTGCGACTCAGCTGTTGCCCTAAGCTACCAACTCACCTAATTACTCATCTTCCAACTCTAGCCTTCCAAAACAGATGATAGTTACAGTAGGTTCCTTGATTGTGGGAATTGAACGACTTCAGGCCCAACTCCCCCACGTTCGCAGACTTTCGCTGCATATTTTGAGCCATGGAGCCATCAGCCCCAGCGACGGGCTCTGCAGCTTCATCGTCGTCTGCACCGGGAGAGAAAAAGAAGAGAAAGCGGGTAGATCTCAGCCCCTTCGCCGAAGCGCCATGAACAATTTGGGGTTTGGGTACCTGATGGTACCTGATGGTACCCTCTGGCTGTTGCAGTCTGCAGAGTGCAGGCTTTAAACCGTTGTTGCATCATGGCATGACAGCTAAGGCAAGTTTGCAGACTTAGAAGCCGAAGAAGTCGGCGGCAGCGGAGAGGAAGAAGATGAAGGCATCGATGAGGACCAAACCTCCGGAGTGCTGGGCTTCAAAGTATCCTTTGGGGAGCTAACAAACTCGGAAGCCGGTGGTTTTCCAGTTTAGGCCAGAGGGAACAGCTACACAAAGCCAGCCGATCTTTTGCTTTTGTGTATGAAGGGCGTCTCTCAACTTTATGCGTGCTTGTTTACAAATGCAATGGCACAATGTAGTTTTATAATCATGGTAGGTTTGTGGATGCTCAGGCATCAGCGGACAGTGTCCCAGCCCACAGTCTCAATCTGTCACTTGCCTATGTCTGAAAATATGGGACGCCCAAATTCCATGGATCAATGGATCAATCATCTTCCCCCTTGAAATGGCCATGACTTGGGTTATCATTACCCACTTTCATCCATTTTCCGCAAGCCCACTGTCACATCGTTTCTCCATGTTTCTCCCAAAAATCCCAGTAGATCTCGGCGGTTTTCGTCGAACTCTCCAGGAGTTCATTGATGACGTGGGCGTCAAGGATTCCGATGCAACCAGGTCCAAACTGCGAAAGAAGATGAACCTGGATAAAGAGTTGAAGGACTGATGGGGGTTTTAATAGGCAGCCATATCCAACAGATTTGCTCCAAAGCTTGGTGGAAAATGGTGGAAATTGATCCCCATAAAAGTATCTTGAGATATCCAAAATGTAGCCAGAACCAAATGGGCCAGGAAACTTCACTATTCAAGCAACCAACTTGAGGTGTGCGTAAGTCGTCACCAGTCCAAGTGTATGAAGATGCTTGCCGCATCACAAATCTCACATATTGGTCAACAGCAGTTTGATGATGTTTGATGTGTTTTCTCCAGCAGATGTGGGAGTCAAGTATATATTCAAATTGGATCCGTTTGTCATATTTATTTATTGATATTATGTCCAACCGTATTTTCTCCATACTGTTCAGTTTTCCCATCCAAGGGTAGAATTTTAGGCATTGAGTTCTTGAATTGCCAATTATGTATTCCCAGTATACTTAAACCATCATTTGTGTGGGTTAAGTCACCATTTTCTGAGCATTCTTTAGGCAACAACCTGGGCACAAGGAGATCCAAAAGGACATGGCTTCGCGTGGCCCATTGGCCGGCGCAGCGAGGCTGTTTAGTACTGACAGACTCGACGACATGGAAAGACGCTACAAGGAGACCCGCTGGCAAACTGCTTGCTATGGAAAATTACCATGCTATTCATAGATATTCATAGATAAATCCAATTTAGCAACTCTAGCCATGCTACAGCTATATATGTGAAACTACCGGAGGGTAAACCCCGTGTCGTTGATTTTGCTCACAATATGTCTTAAAGTTCAGTGCAGTGAAGCGATCTATTTATATATGTTACATATATATATAATATATATATATGTAATATATATATATATATATCTACATATATCTACAGTTCTTTGTGATTAGTGATTCAGGATGGCAAACGCTTAGAGTTGGGTGTAGGAGATGGACGAACTCGGAAAGCGCGGTGAAGACATCTCCAGAATGGAAGTCTTGGAGTCGGTGGAGCAGACGGTCACGGTTCCGGAAAGCAAAGATCCCAGGCACTGGTGGCAGATTGTGATGGGATTAGAATGATTGGAATGATATGGAATGATTAGAAGATATGAAATGTGCAACAATATGAGTATAATGTATAGAATTATATACTATGTGTATATATATATTATACATAATGTTTACATATTATATTCATTTATATTCGACATTGTCACATTGTTGGATAGTCAGCGTCATTGTCATGAGAAAGTCAGACATGAGACATGAGACGGTGAGCCTGGGACCCTAAGATATGCCAAGATACTCGAACAAGGCGTGACTAATGTTGGAAAAGCCCACAATATGCCAAGAAGATTTGAATAGATGGAGATATATGTGTATATACATATATATATACACGTGTGTGTGTGTGTGCCAGCCACATACCCTCTGGTAAACTAACGTAACTATGGAAAATCACCATGTTTAATGGGTAAATCCACTATAAATGGCCATTTTCAATAGCTATGTTAAATTACCAGATGACTAGACTAAACCCAATGGTTGACATTGGCTTTTGGACAAACTTTGCGCGGCTCGATGGAGCTTTCGCGGCGCAAGGCTGTGGTGCCTGAAGACTTTTGGTCCAGAGCAGGAGCTGATGGCGGATCCATCATACTCACCGGTAAACATACAAAAAACCATGGAAAATCACCAGTTTTCATGGGTAAATGCCATTTTCAATAGCAAACTGTTGGTTTACCAGAGGGTAATCCCTTCCACCTATTAAACACCGAGCACCCAGCATGGTTCAGTAGGGGGATGAAATCACAGAAACCATCCATGGCAGGTTTATTATTGGGTTCACGAGATTAAACGGTATTAAGACGTAGATCCGGAAATGTTTCTGGAACCGTGGAGTTCATTAAGGATATTAAGGCCACTGCAATCGTAGTAATGCACACTGAATACTCTCTATACGACTTATTCCCAGCTCTGACTTGAAGGTGACCTGTAGGAGGAATTTCATGGAATTTCGGCAATGCCACTTGCACAGTTTCTCCAGGAACTGTGCATCAAGCTGATGTGGAAGGCCTTCGAAACCATTCGAAACGGCGAGTCTGTACCGGTGGCTTCAGATGCTCAGCCTGAATTTACTGGGCAAACTACTGAGGCGGTTCGGGCGTCCTCTCACATTCTGTCCTTCATGATGTTGTTAACAGGATGCGCAAGAGCCACAGCTTGAGATTTGGAACGTCATGGAGTGTTTTATTTTGACAGCTGGCTGCTTCTCAACAGTGTCACTCTCACAGTCTCGGTGCCACACCCCTCATATGTCTTGTGAGGTTTTTACCGTGCCATATGTGCGTGGCTACATCTACCTCGAAGCACAGCGAGAAGCTGATGTGCGCAGGTGGGGAGTTGGTTTGTGTTCCACGTAAACAAGCTGCCCGGAGGTGAGCGTCCGTCCAGGGGTCAGGTTTTGTTTCTGTTGCGTGGAGGCGCCGATGGCAAGGAACAAATAACAAACAAGTCATGCCAAGTCATGCCAAGTTATCCCAAGTCCAATCCAGTTCCTTCCCAGTTCCTTCCCAGTTCCTTCCCAGTTTGCATCCAGTTCCAGGTTCACAAAAGGCATCAATGGCCTTTCGCAGTACACGGGGCTCTCCCTGGTGCCCATCGATCAGATGGCTGGAGTTTTCTCAGCAGCCAAGGCTGCCGCGCAGAAGGTGAACGTGATTCGGCCAGGCGCGGTGAATTCTCTTCATTTCCGTTGGCTATTCAGTAGCGAGGGCCTGAATCAGCCTGATTTTCAAAGGGTGCCTCGAGTGCAGGATAATTGTGCTCCAAGTGCTGCAGATGGACGTAATTTTTCACGATTTTTCACTGGTGTTTCGTCAAAGAAATGTGACATGGCAGGTGACTGGGTGCGACTGAAGAAGGGCCCATATGGAGGCGACCTGGCCCAGGCCTTCTCGAATTTCTTTGTGCGACGTATCTCAGGGAAATAATCACAATTCTTGGGATTTGAAAAGTCGCAGCATGTCGCTGCAATGGCACCTCTTAGAAGAAATCTATTCGAAAAAAAAGTGCCATGTTACCATGCTTATGATTCGCGAAACTTTGGATACCGGCCCTGAAAGGATAGCGAGCATTCCATTAATCTTCATCATATGTTCAGGTCGACGAGGTTGACGATGACATGTACCTCTTGAAAATGAAGCCGAGAATACGGGGAGGCCAAATAGCCAAGGCCCTGGAGCATGGAGGGGGGGTGCCAGCGGGTAAATCCTTGCGATTTTTGAAACCAGAAGATTTCATGCATGATATGCTTAGAAAATTTATCATAATTTATCAATAGCCAATTGCTCAAGAATCAGTCGGGCATGAGCAGAGCGTCCGTTTTGCCAAATTGCACCGCAGGGCAACAAGAAGATCTTTCCGCCAAAGTGGTTCCACAAGGATGACATGGAGGCGACAAGAGAAGTCATAGTGAATGTTGAGCCTCGAAAAACTCAAAAAGGCGACTTGGCAGCATTTTTGACTTGATCTACCCTTTCAGGGACCGCAGTAGAGATTTAGCGAATGGGCTGCCTTACCATTTGCATCAGCCAGTATTCATTCGGTGGGTCGGTTCTCTGTATAGCACTGTGATACACTGTGTATATTCATTATGTATCTCTTTTCAAAGGTACTCAGCCAGGAACTCACACCGGGATCACAGCCCAAAAACTTGACTGGAGCATACTGCCCCAGCAGCCATGACAAACAAAGCTTGAAAGATCCATTCCCTCTCCATTCTTGGAAGATGGATGGTTTCCCCCCAGGCCATCCCAGGCCCAGACAATAGCTTCGGCTCAGGCTTCAAGCTCTTCTATGTGGCTCATGGCGAAGCCTACAGGGATGGATTCCTGTATAAGAATTACAGGCACTTCCTTTAAGACACTTCCCAGTTCCATCTCAAGATGTCACATGGACATGGACAAAGATGACTGGAATTTGCATCGGCAGTTTCAGGGTCTCGTTGTGTTGGCGGCAGGAGCAGTGCCTTCGTGTCTGGGAGTGATGTAAGGCAGGTGGTGCGCTCAATTCATTCAATGATGAAATGACATCAAATGGGTATATCATGGTATATCTGCAAATGGTTCATCATGATTTATCAGTGATATCAGCATTATCCATCGTAAAATTACCCTTCTGGATGGGCCCAATAGTGTTGCGCACAAACGCTGCTGCTGTGATGGAATGCATTTTTAGTTCGTACGATTCCAACTGTTGAATGCACTTGAATGCTACCTCACCCTTCTACACCTGGTGAGACCTACCGAGTACGAGCTGACGGATTGGAGAAATGCTCCACCAATCTCAGAGCAGGTAAGACCAGAGGATGATTTGCCCAAAAGCAGCTGGGTAAAGACAGTTGCGAGGTTACTCCCAGCCGGCTGGGAACAGTTGCCAGTGCATTGCAATATGAAGGGCCGTATAATATGACCTCTATTCAAATGCATTACATGTTGTTGTTTGTCTTACACACTACTGTATCTTACCCCTTTTTTTGTTCCCGGCAACCCGGTAAGTTCGCCAGTTGCACGGCTTTTGAAACCATCTGAGTTCCATGGCAGAATCCCAGTTCGCCTTGTGAGGTGAGATCAGTGAGATCGACATCTAAGGCAAAGAAGAAAAGGAAGAGAAGATGCCCCCGCCTCCTCTGCCAGTGAAGAAGGACACAGGTCCTATACTTCAGGCCTGGGCAAATCTGGGCAAGACCTTGCAAAATGGCCCAATATGAATCAGTATGCCGAAGAAGTACTGGCATCATTCTGACATCATTCTCGATACGTGATAGTGGGACATTGGGGCAAGGTGGCAAGAATGTGCTGATGGTATTCAGTTAAGCCACATGACAGAACTTGTTTGTACCTGGTAGCTGATATGCTAGAAGGATGTAGCAGTGTAACGTTTCATATATATTCATATATCAGAATGCCAATTTGAAGCAATTTGAGCACAAGCTGCTGGCACCAATTTCGGCCAGGATGGCGAACGTGTCATCGTGCATAGTGGTGACCTCAAAAACCTCAGAGGTGTGGTATCCAAAGCCGTTTTCGGAGCCTTGGTCCGAATGATTTTTGGTCCAAAGATGGCAACGAGTTTCAGGATGTGCTGACCAGGCCCAGCCATGAGCGAAGCCATGGGTTTCACATGGTTTCCACATGGTTTCCACATGGTTTCATGGCACTCCGCGCTGCACTGCTCCCATTCCCAGCAGTTCCCAGCAGTTCCCAGCAGTTCATCCAGTTCTCAGGATCACCGACGGTGCTGGTGCAGCCGAGAGACGTTGATGTCAAAGGTGATTTGTCCATTTCAACAACGAGATTATGCCACCTGGATCTTGCCAATGGGGGCCCGAAGTGATGCTGATCAAAAATATTCAAAAATACATGGTGACATAGATTGACATAGTAAAGCATGGCTTAGCCTGGCCTGGAACACAATGTTAGACCGTCACGTTGGACCCAATGTTGAACCATCCCGCATCACTGGGATCCGGATCTGAGCCCTGCCATGGGCTCCTTTTCAAGTCTAGCGCCTTGTCATCGCCTTATATGGCTCTGATGCAGGTGCTTGCGGTGCCGTGACCGGCATCTCTGTGTATCACTGTACACCTTGTGAACATGTCTCCTCTCCGTTCTCATTGTTTTTACATGTTTTTATGGGTTAAAACAAACTTGTTAAAATGCTGTAATGAGGCAAGTACTTTGAGATTGGCGACTATGTCACGGTCCTCTCTGGAGACCATGCAGGTGATGCAGGACATGTGGAAAAGGCAAGGTGCTGATGACTAGTCACCAGTCAGATCACTCAAATCCTCTGAAAGGAGACCCATGGAGACCCAACATCATAGTATCATAGTAGATCATAGGAGAAAGAGGTCTTATGATGTCTTAACAATTTTTATGTCATTGTGTTGGCTCTTGTGAGTTTTGTATCTTTGTTTGTTATGTTGGCCTAGCGTGGCCATTTGCTAAGTAGCACAGGTTCGACCTATCTCAATTCAACAGTGGGATTCCCTGCTTCGCTCACGGATTTCTCAAAAAATAGTCCTCAGCACTCCAGAATTTGACGGAGTTGCTCAATGTGATATATAAGCTGGTCAGGAATGGGAAACGGTTAAGATCAGAACTAGGTGAAAGATGATGTATGGGATTCTACTCATGTTGAAACGCTGCAGGTGGACCTTGGACCTCAAAACGAATGGGGGTCGCATGTGACTGCTCATATTCTAGCCTCTGATTACACCTCCTTTCGTACATCATTGAATGATGCTTGTACGCAGTGGCCAAGCGGCCAGTGCCTGTCGTGCTGTGATTTGGTTATATTTGTTTGCCGCTTCAAACCTTGTGGCATCTTTTGGCTTCCAGTTGTGCATGGGACCTAAGTGTTTGTCCTGTTGGCCGCTCTTTGCTGTATGTCTTGGTCATGGTCATAGAATCTCAAGGTGGTTGAACACATTTGAAAACACTTCCATTGTATACAGACAGCATCCCCAAAGCGCCCACCTCGGCCCAGGATTTGCGAAAGAGTTTCGAGAGGCCGGAAACTCGTCGCAGCAATGGCGACTTCAAGGTGGGCCAGCTGGTCTCTGTCGGCAAAGACACACGTGCCGTCATTGTGCGGCTCGAGGCGGGGAAAACGGGGTAAACGGTACCAGCTGACGATTCTCCAAGTGTTGAAGCGGTTGATTGGTGAATATAAAAGGTTGTACTATCGAATATACAACTTAAACTCACACACACAATCACACATGACATACATGTGTATACATACATAACATTAAATAGCATCACATAGCATTACATAGCATTACATAACATTATATATATATATATACACATAAACATTACATAACATTACAGTACATAACATTGCATCACATGACACAACATTACAGTACATAACATTGCATCACATGACACAACATTACAGTAAATAACATTGCGTAACATGACAAAACATGACAAAACATGACAAAACATGACAAAACATGACATAACATAACAAAACACAAAAACACAAAAAACACAAAAAACACAAAAACACAAAAAACACAAAAACACAAAAAACAAAAACACAAAAACGCATAACAAAACATAACATAACATAACATAACATAACATAACCACACCACCCACCCCACCCACCCACATCCATCCATCATCCACCATCCATCCATCCATCCAGCCATCCAAAAATAGCATCATCACCCACCCATCATCCACCCATCATCCACCCATCCACCATCATCCACCCACCCACCCACCACACCCACCCACCCCCCACCACCCACCCACCCATCCATCCATCCATCCATCCATCCTCCATCCATCCATCCATCCATCCATCCATCCATCCATCCCATCATCCACCCATCATCCACACATCCATCCATCCATCCATCCATCCATCCATCCATCCATCCATCCATCCATCCATCCAATAAAACCATTCTTATTGATATAATATAGTTTGCGTCTTCCATCGTATTCCCATTTTGGATTTTGCAACTTCTGATTTTACTTCTCTTAAACCAGCGATACCTGGAGCATCCACCCTGAGCTGAGCCTGGAAGGCTGATGACCGTGCCCTGGTGCTGGACATCGATGGAGTGAAACAATATGTGACGCTGAAAGAGTTGGAACCCTTTAAGGTCCCGAAGCGATGCTTTGGCGCAAAACCAGTCGCACAACGTTTTGCGAATTTTACCTGGCCGAATAAGCTAAGACCAGCAACAAAAATACATGGAGACGTATCCGAATAGTCTGAAGATCTATCCACTACCTATCCTCACCGGTTCAATATAACCCACTATGCAGTATCCAAATCCCATGTCCACCAGGATTTCAAGAAAATTGTTTGCGGATCCATTGCTTGAGCTATGCCCCGTGACGGCCCCGTGCCCAGGAAGTATTTACAAGCAGGAAGTATTTTGCGAAGACAAAAAACGCAACAGAATAGTCCCATTCTGCATCGTGAAAGCACCACAGAGCTACACAGGCTGGGTGCATCGGGTTCGGCTTGGGCTTCATGCAGACTTTTGAAGACTTGTGCATGTGGTGATCCCTCTGCAACCCACAGTTTATAACCCAACATAACCCAACAGTGCCCAACACAATCCAACATGTTAACGTGTTTCTACATGGCTTTCCATGCTGATTGCAGGGTGTGTTGCACTCGAGATCTGAGGCAGTGCCCCTGTGACCAGTGAAGTGCTGTACATCGAAAAAAACCGGGTCTTTCTCCGAGCCGTTGAGGGCTTGGTCGGAGAACGAGCCTATTTGGTGGCCCATGGTGACAAGTGCGAGTTTGTGCCTCGACTTGAAGTTGATCAACTTGGACCACATGGCTTTGGTATGCTTTCATGATCTTTCATGAATTCAATGAACATCGCAAAAATTGTTCGTACTAGCACTTCTGGTTAGGTAGGTTCATGCTCTTCTTGTAAGTTACAAACTCCACGCTGGCATGTTCGTATTGAGCCGAGACCCAGTCCCAAAAGCAGATCCCAAGTATCCCAAGTGCCTTCCGACGCTGATGCTGATTGCTGTGGCCACTTGGGTGCATGATGTCCATTTGAGTTTGCAGGTGTGGGATCCGAGTCATATGCCAAAAGGCAAGGGCAAGGGCAGAAGGCCTGATCTCAAGCTTGCCATGAAGCTCGCTGAGACGCCAGATGCAGAGCTGACTTCGAGACCGCAACCTGGCAAAGAACAAGTCTTCCTAGCTGAATCCCAGATGCCTTCATGACACTTCCAAGGTGTTTTTGTGTGGACGTTTGTGTGTGCGTACATGTCAGAGGGGGCTGCAGAACTGCTTGCGTGCTGAGACTGCGGACTATTGGTGCCTGAAAGGTCTTGTTTCCTTTTTCCCGAGAGCGTCTGAGCGCAGGGTTCTTCCAATAGTGGAGGTCTGTATCTCATCTTCTCATCTTCACACCTTCTCATCTTCACATCTTCTCTCACACCTTCTCATCTTCACACCTTCTCATCTTCACATCTTCTCTCACACCTTCTCATCTTCAGTTCTTCTCTCACACCTTCTCATCTTCACATCTTCTCTCACACCTTCTCATCTTCACACCTTCTCATCTTCACACCTTCTCATCTTCACATCTTCTCTCACACCTTCTCATCTTCACATCTTCTCTCACACCTTCTCATCTTCACACCTTCTCTCACACCTTCTGATCTTCACATCTTCTCTCACACCTTCTCATCTTCACATCTTCTCTCACACCTTCTCATCTTCACACCTTCTCTCACACCTTCTCTCACACCTTCTCTCACACCTTCTCATCTTCACATCTTCTCTCTCTCTCTCACTCTCTCTCCTTTCTCTCTCCTTTCTCTCTCCTTTCTCTCTCTCCTTTCTCTCTCCTTTTTCTCTCTCTCGCCTTCTTTATCTTTCTCTCTTTAGGCCGAGGGTGGTACCGGCGGTGAGTCACGAAACGTCAACCCTTTCGCACGAAATGAGGGTCGATCGGCAAAAACTGAGGTAAAATTGCGATTTGGCAACCCCTTCGCACGAAATGAGGGTCGATCGGCAAAAACTGAGGTAAAATTGCGATTTGACTTGTGCCGGAGCAACCCTTTCGCACGAAATGAGGGTCGATCGGCAAAAACTGAGGTAAAATTGCGATTTGACTTGCCCCGGAGCAACCCTTTCGCACGAAATGAGGGTCGATCGGCAAAAACTGAGGTAAAAGTGCGATTTTACTTGTCCTGGAGCAACCCTTTCGCACGAAATGAGGGTCGATCGGCAAAAACTGAGGTAAAATTGCGATTTTACTTGTCCTGGAGCAACCCTTTCGCACGAAATGAAGGTCGATCGGCAAAAACTGAGGAAAAATTGCGATGTTACTTGTCCCGGAGCAAACCTTTCGCACGAAATGAGGGTCGATCGGCAAAAACTGAGGTAAAATTGCGATTTTACTTGTGCCGGAGCAACCCTTTCGCACGAAATGAGGGTCGATCGGTAGAAACTGAGGTAAAATTGCGATTTTTCCTGTGCCGGACTTGTCTGTGTGTAAAAGCGTCTGTGTGTAAAAGCGTCTGTGTGTAAAAGACTGTGTGTGCAAAAGCGTTTGTGTGCAAAAGCGTGTGTGTGTAAAAGCGTCTGTGTGTAAAAGCTTCTGTGTGTAAAAGCGTCTGTGTGTGTAAAAGCCTCTGTGTGTAAAAGCGTCTGTGTGTAAAAGCGTCTGTGTGTCAAAGCGTTTGTGTGTAAAAGCGTCTGTGTGTAAAAGCGTCTGTGTGTAAAAGTGTTTGTGTGTAAAAGTGTTTGTGTGTAAAAGCGTCTGTGTGTAAAAGCTTCTGTGTGTAAAAGCGTCTGTGTGTGTAAAAGTCTCTGTGTGTAAAAGCGTCTGTGTGTAAAAGCGTCTGTATGTCAAAGCGTTTGTGTGTAAAAGCGTCTCTGTGTGTAAAAGTCTCTGTGTGTAAAAGCGTCTGTGTGTAAAAGCGTCTGTGTGTAAAAGGCTCTGTGTGTAAAAGCCTCTGTGTGTAAAAGCGTCTGTGTGTAAAAGCGTCTGTGTGTAAAAGCGTCTGTGTGTAAAAGCGTCTGTGTGTAAAAGTGTTTGTGTAAAAGTGTTTGTGTGCAAAATCGTCTGTGTGTAAAAGCGTTTGTGTGTAAAAGTCTCTGTGTGTAAAAAGCGTCTGTGGGTAAAAGCGTCTGTGTGTAAAAGCGTCTGTGTGTAAAAGCGTCTGTGTGTAAAAGCGTCTGTGTGTAAAAGCTTCTGTGTGTAAAAGCGTCTGTGTGTGTAAAAGTCTCTGTGTGTAAAAGCGTCTGTGTGAAAGCCTCTGTGTGTAAAAGCGTCTGTGTGTCAAAGCGTCTGTCTGTAACAGTCTCTGCGTGTGAAAGTGTTTGTGTAAAAGCGTGTGTGTAAAAGCGTCTGTGTGTGTAAAAGTCTCTGTGTGTAAAAGCGTCTGTGTGTAAAAGTCTCTGTGGGTAAAAGCCTCTGTGTGCAAAAGTCTCTGTGTGTAAAAGAGCCTGTGTGTAAAAAGCGTCTGTGTGAAAAAGCGTCTGTGTGTAGAAGCGTCTGTGTGTAAAAGCGTCTGTGTGTAAAAGGGTCTGTGTGTAAAAGCGTCTGTGTGTAAAAGCTTCTGTGTGTAAAAGCGCCTGCGTGTAAAAAGCGTCTGTGTGTAAAAGCGTCTGTGTGTAAAAGCGTCTGTGTGTAAGAGAGCCTGTGTGTAAAAAGCGTGTCTCCATAGTAACAACAGAAGACTCTGCTCCTCTACGCTCTCGGGCCATCCGTCGTCTAGTTTCCTTTTTCTCTTTTGGTGTTGTTTTTTGTGGGGCTGCCAGCCCACATGCAGACACACCATCGTACTTTTTTGATTCAACAAAGGATGTCCTTTGGTATTCAGATGGCATCGCAAATCTCATTCCTCAAAGCTGGATGGCATAAGAAACTTCGCAGCACTTGTTGGAGCTTCTCCTTGGGGTTTTCCAGGCTGCAGTGCTCCTGTCACACTGCTACACATTGCATCCCCGAGTGTAGTAAGATTGGGGTCCTCTGACATGATTTGACTCCCAGGTTCGGCCCAAGATTCAATAGAGGGAATCCGATCATATCATGCAGTCTATTTCCTTCAAGGAAAACCTTCAAAAAGGCAACACGAAACAAAACCATGCTTCATGCAACGTTGGCTTCAGCGCGAAGGATGTTGGGCCTCTCAGAGCGCCCCGCTGGTGCACCAACTGGTGACACGCTTGTGCCTGGCAGTGCTGTGAAGATTACAGGAGGAAACTACAAGGCCCAAAAGCGACTTTGAGATGTGTCTGGCCATGGGTGATGTGAGAAACATTGACAAACTATGGTACAGCTGCATGTTTATGCATGTTTATGCTATATCATTTGCAAGGAAGTACAGGTGTAAACGATATACTTATACGGATCATGCCGTTTGCGAGCACATTCACAGACCGTTTGCATCTTTTTGCATCAATACATGCGTGCCACAGCTAGCCCTCCTTGTAGTAACATTCTGCGCAGTTCCTGATGGTTGATTTCAAAAGTATACCTCGAAAGCGATGATCTCCAAATTTTGAGCATCATGGGCACAGTCGTGCTGACAGGCAAAGGGTACGTGATTTACTGGGCATTCCCCATTGACCAATTGCAGTGACAGCAGCTTCAGACCGTGTAGGTGAGCAGGTGGCCCATTTTGTTGGGTGCGTTTCTTGCAACTGTTTGGCAGTCTGGTGATGCACTTTTGTGTCGCTTCGGAAGCCATTTTCTGGCAGGGTTTGCGTGGAGAAATCCGAGATTTTTTGGAAGATCGTGTTCGCATTTCTTTGCTGTCACTTGGGCCATACAGTCTCACTCTGGCTGAGCAGTTGGTCAATTCCAGCCTGCCATCTTTCAACAGTCGTAAGTTTGGAAACGGGCAGGCTCCAAGTGTTTCATGGGGCCAAGGTCAGCGCCCAAGCTGGTAGAGGTCTCAATCAACGATGTGCAAGACGATCTCTATTCCAAAGACAAGGTCTGGACGTGTTTCAGAGCATTTGGGAGCCTTGTGAATGCCAAACAACTCCAAACGGTCTAAATTTTGGCCTAAGCGTGACATGGTCTAATCTCGGCCTAAACTCAGCCACATTTCTGATGTATTTTTGGATTGGTATGGTGGACTGCCGGCATCTGCCGGCTACCAGGCCTCGCAGAAATTCGTCGACTTCTATACGCCTCGTGAGGCACCAATGCCAGTCCCTACCAAGGAGCATGGCTTGAACTTGATTTGCAATGGGTAAATATGTGGTCAACAGGATTATCGGATTCATAATATGGTTTACCGATGTTTGATGTGCATTTGCCATGACCAAGCTATTGGAACAGCATTTGAGAAGATCTGAGACCTGAGCAACTTGACTTGGCTTGTGACGCACTGGCGCAACCAATAGAAATCTGTAGGAGAAGAGCGAGGAGCAAACCTTGGCAGAGGGACTCGACCGGGCAACCATGCCATCCGATGAGCAGGCGCTATGACCACGTAGGATCTCGGTGAGTGATGTGGAGTACCCAGCTGCATACTTTGACTCTTGAAATCTTGATATAGTTAGCAAGCGGAACTTAGAATGTGGTTTTGGAAACCGCAGCGCTACCGGTCGAGCCAAAACTCACGTTTTGGGCACCTTCCAATTTTGAAATAATCTTCCCACCACGCTATGTGCGAATGGTTTGACACTTAGAATGATGCAAAAACATCATCAAAAAATCAGCGTTGCCGTTTTTTGGAATTTACCCGATATTTAGGAGGGTTTCAACACTTAGAATGTGGTTTCTTCTATGGTGTTGACACCAACATCCACCACTTGGAAAGCCTCCATTCCATTCTGTCTGGTTTTTCCACAGCTCTTCTGGTAGGAGTTCCTCATGTCTCGAAAGGTAGCGGTGAGCTACCTGAGTTCCCCCTTGCGTAGCAAGTATTAGGGGGCGAGCGGTGCAAGTGCAAGAGTTTGGGCCGGTTATGTCTCGGTCCGCCTTTCCCCCCCCCACCCTTCGATTCCCCCCAGGTCCGCCTCTAAAGCCGGGTTTGCAACATAGGCGGACTACAAGGAAACGCCAACAGCCGCACATGCACTTTCATCCACCACGTTTACATACATCCCCACCCCAACCGAAGTCAAGACCCGCACTGAAACTCGACAATGTCAGATTGCTCAAGAACTTTGTTTCGTTCACCCTAACAACCGCGATGAACAATGTCGTAGCAAGAACGTTGCGACGGACTGCGTTGCAGTAGTCTCAAAAATCGTACATGATATACCAGTAGTACCGCACAAGGCGGTGGCGGAAGTTTCAAAAATAGGAAACCTATAGGAGAGATTGGTTGTTGTGAATCAGAGATGGCAGAGCGAAGCCACTGCTGGACTGAAAGGCGATTGATCTCTCTCACTCTTGTCTACCTGTCTATCTATCTATCTATCTATCTATCTATCTATCTATCTATCTATCTATCTATCTATCATATCTATCTATCTATCTATCTATCCATCTATCCATCTATCCATCTATCCATCTATCCATCTATCCATCTATCCATCTATCCATCTATCCATCTATCCATCTATCCATCTATTTCTCCCTCTATCTATCCATCTATTTCTCCCTCTATCTATCTATCTATCGATCTATCGATCTATCGATCTATCGATCTATCGATCTATCGATCTATCGATCTATCGATCTATCTATCTATCTATCTATCTATCTATCTATCTATCTATCTATCTATCTATCTATCTATCTATCTATCTATCATATCTATCATATCTATCATATCTATCATATCTATCATATCTATCATATCTATCATATCTATCATATCTATCATATCTATCATATCTATCATATCTATCATATCTATCCTATATCTATCCTATATCTATCCTATATCTATCCTATATCTATCCTATATCTATCCTATATCTATCCTATATCTATCCTATATCTATCCTATATCTATCCTATATCTATCCTATATCTATCCTATATCTATCCTATATCTATCCTATCTATCCTATCTATCCTATCTATCCTATCTATCCTATCTATCCTATCTATCCTATCTATCCTATCTATCCTATCTATCTATCTATCTATCTATCTATCTATCTATCTATCTATCTATCCTATCTATCCTATCTATCCTATCTATCCTATCTATCCTATCTATCCTATCTATCCTATCTATCCTATCTATCCTATCTATCCTATCTATCCTATCTATCCTATCTATTCTATTTATCCTATCTATCCTATCTATCCTATCTATCCTATCTATCCTATCTATCCTATCTATCCTATCTATCCTATCTATCCTATCTATCCTATCTATCCTATCTGTCCTATCTATCCTAATCTATCTATCTATCTATCTATCTATCTATCTATCTATCTATCTATCTATCTATCTATCTATCTATCTATCTATCTATCTATCTATCTATCTATCTACTCTCTCTCTATCTATCTATCCTATCTATCCTATCTATCCTATCTATCCTATCTATCCTATCTATCCTATCTATCCTATCTATCCTATCTATCCTATCTATCCTATCTATCCTATCTATCCTATCTATCCTATCTATCCTACCTACCCTATCTATCCTATCTATCCTATCTACCCTATCTATCCTATCTATCCTATCTATCCTATCTATCCTATCTATCCTATCTATCCTATCTATCCTATCTCTGCTATCTATCCTATCTCTCCTATCTATCCTATGTATCCTATCTATCCTATCTATCCTATCTATCCTATCTCTGCTATCTATCCTATCTCTCCTATCTATCCTATGTATCCTATCCATCCTATCCTATCCTATCCTATCCTATCTATCCTATCCTATCTATCCTATCCTATCTATCCTATCCTATCTATCTATCCTATCTAATCTATCCTAGCCTATCTATCCTATGCTATCTATCCTATCCTATCCTATCCTACCCTACCCTACCCTATCCTATCCTATCCTAT